CCCCATACCTCTGCGATTTTCTTGCTCAGAACCTTCGCGATCTTCTTCCGTCCAACGAGCGTTTGCATCCGTTCTGAAACCATATTATCCCGGTCCTGAGGATCAAGCTCTTCAAAAGCACGGATGAATGCCTGCGGAGTCGGCCACCGCCGTTGAATCTCGAGTGCCTTTTCGCCCGTTACGCCCCGGATGCACATGAGCATTTTCAGGAACACGTCTCGGAGGGTCAAGACGTCGGATTTGGAGGTTAGAGCGGAAAATGTGGAGAAGGTGACGGCGTAAGTGGTCTTGGGGCTCTCTGCCCGGAGACGTTCCAGGGCCGTGAGGTATGATTGGGAGGAGGAGAGCTGGCGACTAGGGATTAGACTGAGGGTGGAGGATGGTACACCGCCGGCAGATGAATTGAACATTCTGCGAAGCAGGAGGGTCATTCTAGCTAGGTATTGAATTGTATCGTCGAGGTTCTTAGTTCTCTTAACAAAGTAGCCGTTGACGACTTGCGTCGAGGCTATGGCGGACGCTACCATTTCGTTGTACTTGCCGGCCATGGCGGTATTAGGGTCTGAGGGGACGGTGAATTCTTCAATGAGGTAGATGACGTTTTTCACTCCTGAACGACGGAGACGGAACTTCTGTTCGTGGAACCGTCCGTCTTTCATGGAGCTGATGAGATCGTCGATTCTTTTGCGCTCAACGATCCAGTCGAGCATGACTTCGTCGCCTTCCTCGCCGTACTGGGAGAGGAACGTCGGATTGTGGAATTTAGCTACCCACATGACGTCGCCTAGTTCTAGTGCGCGCACCTCGGGACTGGCTCCCTTCTTGTGTAGTTCGTTGGTGATGTAATCTCTGTCTTTGGATGATCGAACTTCGCGGTTATCCAGAACCAGCTGGACCGTAAAGCTGTCGGGAGGGATTGTTATGGGAGTTACTGTTCCGTCAGAAGCAGGTTCCCATCTTTGGGTATCGTTATGGGCTGTGGGTGTCTCCTCATCGTCGATTAGCTCTGTGCCGTTGCCACCCATGTTGTCCTGCAACTGGGTGTCCCCAGTATGGCTTGTGCTTGGCCCCTACGCAGGTTAGACATCGTCATAGCATATTAGGTATTGGATTTGTTACCGATTGATTCCCAAACGCCAAAGTGCCTTGATTTGACGGCAGGGCGACCTTCTTCATCCTTTTCGCCACCTCCCATCCCTCTTCTGTGAGTGCGTACTTCTTCAGAGGACGCCCGAAATCATATACAATCTCCTTCTGCAAGAGCGTCTTCATTGAGCTCCAGGCAGTATGGAATTTGGACGACTCGGCAGGTGCCGTGAATGAACTATCGCAATTCGGCTGCGCCAAGTCAATCAGTTGTGCCTTGGTTAGGCCTTGAGAAGAGTTCTCATTAAGGGTTGCCAGGGCTAAAATCAACGCATACGGGCCAGATCGTAAAGTCGGGACATAAGGTCTTGCCTTTCGAGGTTTCTTGGCTGGCTGACTTTCTGCTGTGCCCTCATCGGATGCTCTTTTGCTGCTTGCCGCTACGATTTTTAGGGCCTGCTCAGACACGACAGTACTACCGAGACTTACATTTTTGAGGATGTTCGGGCATTGGAAGTGCATTTTCTTCGCAGTAAGCCTTTAGCTTTTCGGTCAAGCGATCACATAGTTTTGGGCCGAGTCCATTTAGCTGCTGAGCCTCGGAGGGGTGTTGGAAAACTAAGGGACAAGCTTTCATCGACTCGTACGCCTTTTTGTATCTGTGCATAATTCAGCATCAAATTCGATCATTGTATCGCGTCATGAAATAGTACTGACACTATGGCGCCCTTGCTGTTGCGTTCTCGAGCCTCGTCTAGCCATTCTTTGATCCACCCCAGTAGTAGGGGATTGGCGCACGTTTCACTCATTGTTACGGATTTGATCGCATTGACATAGTGCTTGCAGAGACAGGAATAAAGGTGTCAGACACTACAGAGTAGATAACATAAGTTGAAGGCAAAAGCTAAAGTTGGGTTCTAGGCCTGGGAGGCAGAGAACGAATCTACTATTCTGGAACGCGGCTTCGGGATGTCCTTCACGCGTATTACCTATTTAGGCAAGATTCATTTTGCGCCACAGCAAAGCCACACATGTGGCGATGCAATACCACACTAAGTAGTGATTGGTTGGGTAGTCTAGTATGCAGGTGCGTCGGCGACATTAATGGAGAGAACTACAACTATCATAGAAGGAAAGGAGAAAAAGGAAGTAGCAATTGATCGAGTACTAGTGAGCTATTCTCAGGTACCCCTGAACTACATCGATCGGAGCCCAGGAACAGAATGCTGACGCAGTCCTGAGATTCCAGGCTTTTGCACGATCCGGTCCGTGACGACACAGCCATGACGTATTGCCTACCCCGGCTTTCAAGACACCCTCAAAGCGCATCTAGTCTCTCCATTTCTGTGCCCATATTTGCCTCTATTATACATGCGTAAATACTAATTTCTTGTGCAATATGTCACGGAGGGATCCAACAAAACCAGCTGAGCCTGTCGCGTATAGCTCGAAGACCAGCGGCAACGATATCTTCGCGGCTGATCGCACCACCACCGAGATTAGCGGCCCAACAGACAGTCATGTTCTCTCCAAGGTGGACCAAGATGATAAAGGACTAGCTCAAAAGGCTGGGCAAACAGACACCGTCACGGACTTGGGTTGGAATCAACACGCCGACGAGCTTGACGAGCAGCTCGTGTCCGGAATCTCAAATGAAGATCTTTGGATGCTTATTCGACGTTTCAACAAGGTATTACTTCTACACCTACCACTATGAGTTCCCCGTACTGACCTTAGTACAGCAAATCTATTACGTGAAAGCAGTGCCGGACTCTCCCCTGCAGCGACTGGACCTCAACCGGGCCGAAGATGAGCAATTCTCCCCTGATAAACTGCGCGCCACCCTTGAGCGATTCTACACAACTATTGTTGTGTCGTTAACTTCGTTCGTCAATCATATTGCTAGGCTACGCTCATGGAGGGAGCGCCAACGGACAGCAGCATTCTGTGCTGTAGGTTACAACTGGAAATGTCCCTTCGTCTCTGACTCGGTTGACTGGTGTTAATCTTAGGTCTACTTTGCTGCGTGGGCCTTGGATCTTCTTGCTCCAACTATCTTCACCCTCCTCATAGTGCTTGTTATCAGCCCTGATAGCAGGTCATACCTGTTCCCTCCTGCTCCTATAGCCCTAGTGGACAAGGATACTGGCGGCGTGCAAAAGCCTAAAGCCGGTGTCTTGGGTTCCCATGATAGTATCACTGGGGCACCCGAGAACATGAAGGGTGAAGCAGCGGAACAAGAGGCTAGCAACCTTTTCACAAGCGTTGCTAGTGTCGCTGTCGGTAGTGTGGCCGGCAAGCATGATCAAGGCACACCCGATGATGCCCCAATGGAAGAAAATGTTCCAGACGCGATGGAGCTTGCGACCAGCGCAGCAGATGCACAGACAGCTGCTCATGGAGAAGCCCCAGACGATGCTCATGATAAAACTAGGCAACCCATGAGAGATACCGTCTACAACGCTGCTAACAAGTCAATGCGTGTGCTAAGTGACATCATTGACACTTGGGAGCGGTTTGGCAAGTATGTACAACTTGCAGCATCGAGAGGCACACATTCATTCTAACTCACCATAGTGCTTTGTCACCAACTCCACCATTCTCGATCGTGACTCCCTACGTCCGCCTGACAGCCGTGCTATCGGTTGGCTTCCTGGTCTCACTCCTGACCTCCAGCTACGTCTTCGTCAAAATGATTACTTTTGGTACTGGCTTTGCCTTCTTTGGCGACCCGATCATCTGGCGTGCTGTGACATACTTGAACCGCGAGTATCCCCGGTGGGAGAAACTGCTGGAGCTCCAAAAGTACGCAACCCCGATCACCTTAAACAAAACATTCATTTAGTGCTAACACCACACCTAGCTCCCTCCTGAAAGGAATCCCCACAAACGCTCAACTCACCCTAACTCTTCTCCGTATCGGCGAAGCAAACGGTGCCCCCCTCCCACCACCACCATCCCACTCACTCCACCAAACACCGAACCACCCGGCCCCCGTCGACGACAAGGACATCAACATTCCCGCCTCAGAAGAAGAAATCAACCAAGCAATTGCCCCATCCCCCCAGCCCGTCGTCGAAGAACACGAAGTGCATCCGAAACCGCCCAAGAAGGGTTTCATGAACCGCATGATCGGCTTCTTCCGAGGCACCACAGCGACCGGCATCCAAAGTAAGCTTGCCGTTGACCGAGCCCGCGCAGCCGCCGGCTCCAAGCACGCCAAACCCCGCGTAGGTGTGCTCCGCAGTAAAGGCAAAGTCACACTCCCATCAGGCCCTATCCAATTTGATGGGCGATACAAAGGCAAGCGAGGCGTCGTGGTGCTTGACCAGTCCCAGAAGCCACCCTTGCTTTACTTCACGACGGACCAGACCGTGCAATTGGATCAGCCTAGTCTGGAGCATCGGCCGAAGGGCACAGTGCTCTTCAAGATGCCTGTTACGGATATTCTGGAGATGAGGAAGATTGGTGGACTTGGGTGGAAGGGCAAGTTGGTCACGGGTTGGGCGGTGGGTAGTAGTAAGGAGGTGGTAGATGGGATGGTGCTTACGGGGAAGTTGCCCGAGCAGAAGTATCAGCTCACGGCTATGAAGACACGCAATCAGTTGTTTAATCGGCTGGTTGCTATTGATGGACAGGTTTGGGAAAGTTATTGAATTTGTCTTGGACGCTTGCTAAGGTATTTTCAGGTTTGGAAGTAGTGAGCCGAGACATGTTAGGGTGGTGGGTGGATGGTATGATATCTAGGGAATTGTTCATATGGGAAGTGGAAGCCATGGTCATGATTGGTGTTGTGTAATAACATGCTCTAATTTGTCATTTATGAAACTCGTCACTTATGTTTTAGCTGAGAAAACGTCATGGGCATTGTACACTGTGTGGAGCACGACAGGCTTAGGCAGCGGCAATCGCGTTTATTGCTGTCCTATCTCCAACTGGTAATCTCTTACTGCTTGCTCAAACGAAGAGTCCCGCTTAAAGCCCAGTGAAATAGCCTGGGAATTGTCGAAGCGTGTAGGCCAGGACTCCAAAATCGGTCTGAGGGTCGGATCCTCCGTCTCCTTTAACAGACCGAGCTTATCCTTCCCTGCAACCTTCTCCAAAGCATCCATCATGTCCTGAATGGTGACACAAATACCAGGCACATTAATCTGTCGGATATGAGGAGGCAACGCATCCTTGGGCAACGACAATGTATGGACGAGGTTATGAACAAGAGTTTTCGGCGAGCATAGCCAAGACTTGAATGACCTATCCTCCAGCGGAATGACACACTCCTTGCCGTCGAGCGGCTCGCGGATCATCCCAGAAAGAAAAGACGAAGCGGCAGCTGTTGGACGACCAGGACGGACAGAAATAGTGGGGAACCGAAGAGTGAATCCCGTGATGAAGCCACGGCGAGTGTACTCATTGATAAGAGTCTCACAGATGATCTTCTCGGCGCCGTAGGACGACTGCGGCGTCGGGATGACACTGTCGTTTACTACTTCGGGTAGTGGCTGGCCATAGACAGCCTGACTCGAGGAATAGATTACCCGCACGCCGGGGCAGGTTCTGCGGAGCGCCTCAAGCAAGTTCCGGGTAGCATCTACGTTGACGCTCATGCCCAAGTCGAAATTGGCTTCAGATCCGGACGACATGATTCCGTGGAAAGCGTAGACGGCATCGAGAGATTTGTCCACGACTGCGTCTGCGCCTTTCAGGAGGTCTGTTGTCACCGATCGTGCATTCTGAGGGTATGCGACGCCTGTGGGAATTGGGGGCTCGTTTATATCGGTTAGTGTGACGATGTATGATGGGTCGTTGAGGAGCTCCTTTGCGAGGAGTTGGCCGATGAAGCCCGCTGCTCCTGTGATGAGGATTTGCATCTTTGGAGGGTCAATTGAGGAAGTTAACGGTTATGGTGGGAGGTAGGTGTGAGAATTGATTATTTGTTAAGGCTCTATGAAGCAGACAACATTGTCAGTAATATGCTCAGCTAGCAGTCGTCATTGTGGGATGGTCTCGCATTAACTCCGAGGGTCGAATATAGCTTGTGCTCCGCAGCCGGACTTTTCCCGGCGCAAAATCCAGTCCATGACGTTTTCGCCCAGGAACTGTTAAGCTCATTCTCAGAGGATCCGCAGCTTCTTTTGAAATTTGATTATGCCAAAACAGAATTCTAGAGAGTGGGTAAATTAATTTGGCCCCTTCAGGTGCCTGGTGCTTGCTTGTGATGGAAAATTGGGCGCGGGGTAAGTGGTGAGTGGAGCTGATTAGGATGGATTATTGCATTCTGCAAATAGAAGACATAAGGATCCTCAAATGATAGAAAATATAGAGAGAGAGAGAGAGAGAGTAAGATCTCCCTGCTGACCCTGCCATTGTGCACAACAGAGACAGGTGTGACCCTGACGGTCGGGGGCAATTGAGCCGTGGATACCGACTGGCGGTGCCCCGCATTCCCCAGATCCCGTGCCTGTTGCTGGTCTGGAGACAAAACAGAGTGTCCTGAAGTAGTCTGCAGCTCATGCAAAATTGAATTCGCAGTGTGCTATGTAGGTCCTGGAAATGTAGAGTATTTAGAGAGTAGCTATCTGTAGGATTGACCAAATCAAGTGATGTATCCATGGGTTTCACGATGAGAATGGGCAAGAATTGCTCGTGGCTTGGAACTCAAACGGCGCCAAATGAAGCGGGGTATGCCGCCATCGCCAGTTTTGTCTGTCTCCATCCCACTCTTCTCTTATCGTCGAGTTTTCTTCCCTCGCACCTCAGCCTGCCTCTGAACCCTTCAGTGGATATTGATTGTTCCGCCGCAACTAGTACGAACAAACAAGCAGCACCATTTGGCTAGCTTGCCATTGATCTCTTGGACTTTGTCCGTCCCCACTATTGTCAATCCCATATTGGCTGCATGATACCGGAGCATCCCCGACCAGATCTTAGTCAATGGTCGAGTAACCATGAAGCGCTCTTCGCAAGATGCCGACTTAGAGGCCCCACGGCCACATGAACGTCGACCATCCCTCGTTCCTGACGGACGGCCTGCGCCACCCAAGATCTCCAAGGCCCGCGCTTGTGAGTACTCATAGGCCGAACTGCAACCGAGGCCCCAGCGATCAGCTCCAAGGTGTGCTTGGGCTTGATGAAACTAGAAGTATGAAGCTAATGCTTTGGGTATATAGGCGCGGAGTGTAAGCGTCATAAAATACGCTGCGAGTTCAAGTCAGGCGAGGCGAGTTGCACAAAATGCATTCGCAGCGGGATCAAATGTGTAGTCAATGACTTCTCGCAGAAGTTTGTCGACGATGATGTAATGTGAGTCCTGGATATGCCTATGGCTTGCTCCAGAGAACTGTGAACTATAAGAGCTGATTGGATTCTCCTGCGCTGGGTACAGGTGGAAATCACAAGCATCGGCTACCATACAACAGCTTCAAGCGGCAGTCTCGCATCTTCTACATCAAGGAGGTCTTCCAGATCTATCGACCTTCATCTCTGGTGACACCCAGAACGGCCCCAGTCCTGTGGCATCTCAGTCAGAGCGTCGTTTCTCATCCGAGGCCTCACCCACCGATGTCAAACCCAGGGAGCCGGGTATTGTTATGGATGTGACCCGAGAGCCTTCCCAGGAACCAGACCTACAAGACCGAGAGCTAGTACCAGCACCAATGCGCAGTCTATACGAGGTCACGAAGCTCCGCAACTTGCGGAACAACCCCATCGAACAACCGAAGCTGACACTTCTGGAGGAGGACTTCATCTCCAGAGGGCTGATTTCGCTTCATGAAGCCGAAGAGCTGTTTGCCTACTTCAGCAGGACTATGAATCAGCTTCTCTGGGGAGGGATAGTCTTGGTGCATCGTGATCTCACGTCTGTCCGACGAGCATCGACGCTACTGTCAGCGGCTGTTCTAACCGTCGCTGCCCTCCATATACCGAATCGAACCGAGACACTCAACCGATGCTACAATGAGTATGTATCGCTTGTGTCGAGCATGTCTTTGACGAGAGCTCATACCCTCGATGATATTCGCGCTCTTTGTGTCGGAGCTTTCTGGCTATCCGAATTAAGTTGGAAACTTTCTGGGCACGCTGTTCGAATAGCCACAGAGTTGGGTCTTCACCAAAGCTATCATAAGCTAATGCGTGGTCATAACGATCAGTATGAACGCGCTCAGCTCTGGTATCTTTTGTATGTGTGTGACCACCATTTTAGCATCGCCTATGGACGTCCACCAGTCATTCATGAGGATGCAGCGATCAAGAACTACGAATCTTTTCTCCAGTCACCAATGGTAGTACCCGGGGATATCCGGCTACTAGCACAAGTGGCCTTGTTTATGATTCTGACCGAAGCATATCGGACATTTGGTACCGACACAGAACAAGCCCTCACAGAAGAAGACTTTGGGCAGTTACGGGTCTACAATGTAGCTATAGACCAATGGCGGCTACTGTGGCAACCCCGATCTGGTATGCGCCCTCAAGATTTGGCATTGACCTGAGATTATTTTGATAAACTGACCGTCGTGGCGCTTGGACTGCAGCCGATAGCCCCTATGTCCGAACGTATCCCTCGAAAGGGGTTGTCCTTCACTATCACTTCGCCAAATTTCAACTCAACTCCCTCTCTCTGCGGGCTTTGTCTCCGACAAATACCCCGGTGTTTTCTATGGACCGCAAAGAGTCGGCTAATATTGCCATCTCATCCGCTATGGCTTGTTTGAATATGGTGTTGGAGGAGCCGGACATTCGCGATGCCATTGTTGGCGTTCCGATTTTTACCCACACGATGGTCACATTCTCCGCCGTGTTTCTCTTGAAAGTCGCGATAAACTGGAACTCTGCATATCTTAGCCTCGACGGCCGCCAGGTGCGACGCCTGGTAGAGCGGGTGATTGAGCTGCTGAACTGTGTTTCTGCAGGGGAGAGACATCTGACGAGACATATTGCCCGAGGCCTTGGTAAGATGTTGGAGCGTTTCGACTCTTGGGACGCATGGCAAGCAGGAGGGCCACCTGTTGTAGCATCCGGGGGTGTTGAGCGACCAGGAAGCGATGTTCCTGGGGGTGCCAATGCCATGGCCCAGGGGTTTCCCCCGCCGGATTTAATCTATGATATGGTTGGTACATACGGGTTTGGGTTAGATGAAAATCTCCTAGACCCTAGCATGGCTAGTTTTGAATTCTTAGCACAATGAGCCCATGCTTGATATCCTGAGCCGCAAGAGCCAAACTATTGAGGTCATCGTACATAGTAGTATGGGTAAAGTGTGATATGGATAGAGGAGTATAAGCTGCTACTACTTGGCCAAGTCAAGGTGCTTCCTCATCTGCCTCATCCCCACTAGGGGCATCATGGACTGCCGCAGAGATTTGTTTGTTACGCCCCCTTCTCTGTGTCTGGCCTTTCTTGCCTCCCGCTTTAGCCAGGATATCTTTCACCTGCTCGAGGGAATATCCGAGCTCCGCTTCAATGGCTGCTCTATACTCCTTCCTTAGCTGCCTCTTCTGCCTCTCCTCCTCAAGAAGGCGCTGCTCTTCTGCCAACTTATAGTCTTCTACAGCAGCACGCCGAATCCTGTTTTCCTGTATGAGGCGTTCGCGTTCCTCGGATTTCCGTCGAAACTCTTCATCGCGCAGCTCCTTCTCAATCCGGCGCCGAGTTTCCTCCTCCTCGACCTTCTTCTTCATCTCTTTCCATTCCTTTTCGCGTAACGCAGCTTTGATTTCTCCTTTCCTCTTGGCTTGCAGCTCGGCCTTTTCCAATCTCCGTATCTTTGCTTGCTCCTCGGTACGCCTTTCGGCTCTCGTCGTTCGAGCCTCTTTCCTTTCCCATTCATTCAGTCTCCTCAATCGCTCCGAAATTTCGTCTTCGAACTCTCGGCCGTCCTCTGCAAGGTGTCTGTTCTTTTCTTCCCTTGAGAGTCTAAAGCGATGCAAATCTTCCTCCAGCCGGTCTATCTGTTTCTGTTGTAAGAGTATCTCGAGGTCCAGCTTTGTGAGAGGTGAGTGCATATTGTCTGGATACCGGCGAGGGAATGATGTGTCGTGATGGATAATGCCCGTTGCTCGGGGCCGTTGATGACGACATGGGAGTTCAAGATCTGATTCTGTATCGGAGATCATCCGGACTTCTGGACGCAACCTGGTATAAGACCGGCGCCTTTGAGCCACCCGTGGCTTTGAGGGTTCATAGGGCGGGAAAGACGGATTGGCTCCTGCAGCGGGGTTTTGTCGACCATCATGGACAGGCCTTCTGTCCTTGGGTTGCCCCCTTTTCGATCCATGGATCTTCTCGACGATACGCTCACCGTTGGCCGTAACAATATCCTCAGTGGTCTCGGATGCAGAATCCATGGTGGTATGAGCTGTGCGTTTGACCTACGAAAGTCGCTGTGATGCTAGGATTTTAGCAGCAAAATGCCCTCACGCTGGCGGTTTGGTGTCCAGCGTGGCACGGACAAGCAGCTGACAATCACATGGGCCTTTTGCCTTAAGTTTGCTGGAAGTATCGCAGGCAGAGTGGCTGACCTGCAGGATTGGTTTATGTTTATAGCCGATTGCTAGTCCCCAGCCTCGCGCAATTGTGCCAATCAGAGGTTACTCAGGTGGTTGGAAAAGTGACGATAGTATCCTTAGCGCTGACATGCACGTCTGCATCGAATCAGGCAATGGAAGGTAGTTACTAGGCTTAACCCCCACATGCGCTTCTCTACTAGTCTACGGGCTTTTGGAGGAAGAAGTCTTTGTCAAATGACCGCCACCCTTTTCTCTCATAGGGTGTTATGGAGTCTCCGCAACGTGCTTGTTCAGCTGCTATATGCTATGGCCCTCTCGCTGACCTTTTTATCGCTTTCCCGACCAGATAACTGTGCGGACTTCGCTGTCATCCGCAAGAATCCAGGAGAGCAGCGAGGATTTGGATTAAGATGATCAATGATGGATAGCGCGATAACAGCATCAGCGCTGCTTCAGGGCTGCCTGTCCTACCGCTTCCTTTCTCGCCATGCCTCCGTTCAGGTGGTCCGTTCGGTTTCACTGGAACCATCGAGATGGAATTTGCGTGCTGTACAATCCCAGATGCCTGTAATGCATCTTGGCCAATAATTTGCGAGGCCTGAAAGGTGTGCACAGCGTCTCCAAGTTTTGAGATGCACGCATCCATTGGATCGTCTGCACCGCAGGACTCTATGCTGTTTACTAACGTTTCTGAGGAAAAAGACGAGTTGGAGCCAGATGACCGCACTGTCTCAGTGTGGCGTCCAGAGTCCTCTAAAACGGGCCAAATGCCCGGTAGGCTCCCCGTATATGGGTTTTCGAGCATGTTTGGGATATTCTGAATGTCTGCCGCTGCTCTGTCGGGAATGTTTTCGTTACTCTCTGTGAACGATATTGGCAATGCAGTAGGGATCTGCACTGGAATGCGAAGGCAGTTCTCTCTTTCCATAACCATGGGCAGATCCTCTGCAAGACGATCTAAACGAGGGCTTGAAGGCTGCGTCAAAACGCTTGGATACACCAGAATATCACTGGATCCCTCATCACCCTCATGACGGGATGGGAACCTCAATTGACGAGCCCTTTCTTTGAAGCGCTTCCTGCCCTTTTGTAGTTTTCCCTTGATCTCAATCCTCATGAGGAAGGGCCTTCCCTCATGCTGGAAAGCAAAGGCAGTGTGGATCGTATTGCTGTGAACTGATTGAGACTCAGGGTCTTCCTCGCGTAACTCCCACTTAATAGTACGATATTCCAGGTCGGTCTTTTGCGCAGGGCGCAGATTACCTGTGAATGTCCATCGGCTGTCATAAGTAATTGACTTCTCGCTATCGATACCGATACCGCCGCCTCCGTTTCCCAGTACATTGACCTGGGGCGCAAGATGCAAGATCGTTTTCTTGACCACATTCTTTGGATCTCCGCTGAGATACTTAGGCCCGTAGTGGTCGGTCAGATGGAGGCGTACAGGCTTATCCAGGTCAAGCTGGTGCTGGGGGGCACCTTGCAACGTGATTTTGACTGTAGCACTCAGTAGCATACAGTCTATAGGCTGATCAAACGATAGATCCATGTAGACGATTCCCGCCGGCCTTGATGCTTCACCCAAGCATCCCCATTTCGACTGGGAGGTTCGAAGTCGGCAGTCAGCGCGTGCTTTGCCGACCTTGCGGTGGCACACGCTGGCATCCTGAAGGTTGTCAAGCTCAAGATATTTCCGACCATACCGTCGTGAGTAAGTTGGCGGCGAGTCCCGACCAGCGGTGGGTGATGAAGTCTTGGTGGCCCTCGACATTATTAGGGCGATGGGAGCAAAATGCCGACCTCCCCACCCCCGCGAATGTCAACACGGATTAAATAGTAAGGGAGCTAACAGCCAGTTAGCGGGCTGTTGGGGGACGCCTGGCACTGCCACCGTACAAACCACTCAGACGGAGGCGCTAATGCAGATACGCAAGACGAGGCTGAAATTAGTTCCTCAAATACGAACTAGCAATCCTCGTGGGCCTCCTGCAGATGTTCTGCCCTCGCGCTATTGTTCCGTCAACAAGCACCCTCTTAAAATGCACAACATTTGGCAAAGGTCCTCCTCCACAAGAAGGAGACGATCCAGAGATCGACAAGGCCTCTTTAACCGCTTTTCCTGGGATGAACGAGCGATTCATGGAAGGGCGCACGACGCCCTCGTTGTTCCTGAAAAGAATGTCCATTCATCCCGTGCGGAGCCTGTACACTCTGGAGAAGCAATTGTCGTTCGTAATACTGCAGCTCATAACAACGACACTAAGATTTCTTCACTAGGCACACTCTCCAGAATACTGTCGGTATCACAGGATGGGCCACGAAACGATGGGTCTACCATCTGGACTCCCTCATCGACAAAAGATAAGACCATTCATTATGAGATGGACATCGTGGAGGATGTGGGAAGCCTGTTGGAGGAATTCTCGCGACTCAAGAGACTAGGCCATTTCCAGGAAGCGGAACAATACTTTCAAGATTCCTTGAGTGCGTTTATGGAACTATCACCAGTTACAATTGAGTTCGCAGACATGCTAGTCGAACAAGGTTCGTACGAGCGTTTGCATCGCGTTCTGTCGCAGCACCAACAGCAGGAGCTAGATACATTTGACAGTATCTCAAGCCTGCCGGAGAACAACCGTGCCAGATTTCTATATCAAGCGAACTTGCACCTCATACAGCAATTCGCGGCCATGCAGTCCCACGGGTCGCTGGACGAGGCATATGTAACAGTCCGATCCTTGGAGCGCCAAATGCGTGTCCTAAGGCGACGTTGGAGGAGGGACTCGACTCTTGATCTGGACTCGGCTGAAGTAAGTCCGATTTAATGGGATACTCAAGCGACTGGCAAAGACTAATAGTACAGGCAGGTGCAAGTGATCCGTTATGCGCTATTGATTCTATCGCAGGTTGAGCGTGAAACAAATTTGATTGCAGAGCATGAGTTCAATTTCTGGTCTAACTGGCACTATCTGTACAGCGCTCTCGTGACTGAAGGGCGAGTATGGGATGCGCGAGATCTAATACTCGCTTCCATTCAGACGGAAGGTCCAGCAAATTCGTGGAACTTGATCTTCGAAGTAGAACTTGATTCTCCCAAGGATGCGTTTCGCAAACTCATTGGCGACTGGGGCTTGCATCGGTACGATGAGTCAACATATCTCGCCATTCTAGATATTCTAGTGTGTCTGAGCCGCGGTTTGTCCTCATGGTCTATCTCGTTACCAGAGAGACAGGACTTGCTCACTGCTCAACGATGCCTCCAGTATGGGCAAGCCCTTGCAACCTGCCTCAAGGAGAACAACCCGCAGCTGGTAAAATCTCGTCCTTACCTACAGTGGGTTATTGCTGAAGCGGAACTGGAGAGGAAGCTTCAACCCAACACCTCAGGTTTAGATCTGCGAGACCACCTTAGCAAATTTCCAGGCCTGACCATCTGGAGGGGCGCTGTTCCTATTTATCTTCCTATCAAAATGGAGAACCCGAAGTGGACGGTGCCTAGAGACGGTGGACGGAGCTATGATCTTCTTGAAACCGTCCTTCAAGCGGCACAAGACCTGAAGGACTACAGGACAGAGGCCTTATGCTTGGGTGAGCTAATCTATCGTTCAGTAAACACGAGCGAAAGATTGACTCGGTTATCCCATCTCCAGAAGTCCATTCAGGGGGATATTGTCGGCTATCGACAGACGTCCCTGTCGTGGTTCCTTCTTGCTGACACTGAACAAGACTACAAGCTTCTTCTAGACAGCTTGAAAAACATACAGGAACCGAAACGATCCCTAGGATTTCTCTATTCTCTGAGTGACTGGTGTGCAATTGTTATCGAACGAGCTATTTCACACTGCCTGGCGGAGGATGTATCGTCTTCTGAAGAAGCTTTCCAAAACACCAAGGAGGGCTTCTCTATCTACCTCCCGCAATACATAAAAGACCAGTTAGAGGCGCTCGGTCTGAATAAGGTATACTTCGCAGTCTCAAGGGTCGGAAAGCCCCAGGCACCTGACATACGACATCGCAATATCACAGACGTTCCGACAATGGAACAGTATACTCGACCCCACGATTCTTTTGAGAGTTTGGGTGACGAGAGACATGGGCAGTCTGAGCCACTGCTCTCCTTTCAGAGACGACCAGAGCGCACGTACACAGAAACTGTGAAAATCAATGATAGTGATGATGATGACGATTATGATGATGATGATGATTCCGATGATGACGTTGGCGAGTATACCACCGACAGCAGCTTCGACACAGCTAGATCAGATGATGGTTGGGTGAATGGTGAGAGGGCTCATTTGACATCGCTCGTTCGTAGTACTTCACGATTTGGTCCAAGTGAGTCAAGGGCCTGAATTATTTTGCAGCCAATCGTTGCTTACCTTTACGTCTTCTAGATTCGAGAAGCGCGACCGTTGAAGATGTCAGTAGTAGCATATATGAGGGATAATCGTGCGACTATGCGTTGTGAAATTCCAAGTGAAGTAGTTTCGACGGCTAGAATCTATAATGCATAGAACTAGAGTACCTCGACTGGATACATTACGCATTTCCTTACATTGAAGGATCCGAACTAGATGTCTCTTTCGAAATAAAGCAAAGATGGGTCTGTAGATGTATACGCCCTCTATCTCTACAATTGTGTACATTGAAGCATATCCGACAGATCTTTGTGGAAGACATCCACACAACTGTTGAATAAACACAGTCGATGTAACTAAGAATCAGATTCTCCATGTGATACAGCCGAATCCAAAAGAAAATGATTGTGAGCACACGATGTCTGCTACACAAGCAACAACATCAAACAATGGCATGTTTGACTAGTTTGCAGAAAATACAAACAGAACCTCCCGATGACAATCCACCAATGATCGCATGGTATTTCAGTTTGCCTTGTTTGCCAGTGACGTACAGAGCGATAGTGCATTGCAGCTCGTTCTACCGAGTATACACACCATCGAGCGCGATATTCGCCCAGCTAAGGCACAGATATCTCCAATGGAGCAAAGATGAGAAGCAATGCAAACATCCAGCAGCCAATGCCTCGATGGCAACCTAAGCTCTAGCTCCACTACAAGAAAATGTATAAAGCATAAAGCAGAGCAATCCCGCTCCAACACACCTTAACCCATATCATCTCACTTCCATTTCCACTCCATCCCAACAATACTACTTGTGTACAAAATGGCATCTCCCCAAACCACCACCCCCCTCCCAGTCGTAGCCATTGCCGGCGCAACCGGCCATCTAGGCAAGCACGTCGTCTCAGCCTTCCTAGCCTCCAACCTACGCAACCGCTTCTCGGAAGTCATCCTCCTCTCGCGACAAGACAGCCATCAACATCCACCAACAGGCCTCCCCACCCCCTCCAACAGCACGCACCCCAAGCTCACCATTCGCAAATACACCGAAGACGACCCAGCCAACATCACTCGCGCCCTCCACGGCGCTTCAATCCTCATCAACACCGTCGGCCCCTCCGGCCACTCCTTCAAAGAGAAACTGCTCCACGCCATCCCCCAAACATCCATCCAACTCTACTTCCCCTCCGAATTCGGGGTGAATCACTACGTGCACGACTTTCCGCATCTAGAATGGGACGCGAAGAAGAAGCACATGGCGCTGGCGGAGCAGCTACTCACCCAAGGCCCGAAGAAGGTGAAGATCTGTCGTGTCTTCTGTGGATTGTTCCTGGAGGATAGTATCGGTCCGTGGTTCGGGTTTGATACGAAGCGTGGAAGGTATGAGAGTGTTGGGAGTAGTAGGGTGCCCGTGTCGTTTACTTCGTTGGGGGATGTGGGCAGGAGTGTTGCTGCGTTGGCGAGTTTGAGGGTGGATGAGGTGCCGGAGGTGGTGCATGTTGCTGGGGATAGTAGAAGTGTCGTGGAGATTGCGGAGGTTATGGGTGGTGCTGGTGGCGGTGGTGAAGATGGAAAAGGGGAGATAGAGGTGGTGGAGGTTGGGTTGGAGGAGTATAAGAGGGATGTTACTACGGGGAAGAAGGATTCGTGGGATCCGGCGCCTTATTTGAGGTTTTTGATGGGCGAGGGCAAGATTATGCATACGAGGGATGGGTTGGGGGATGATGATGAATTGGTTAATCCGGGGGAGAGGTTGTGGAAATGGGAGACGTTGAGGGATTTGGCGGAGAGGACGGGGGGAAGACCTTGGGGGGATTATGCGTGGCCGCCGAAGTAGGTATTCGATATTGCTGCTATTGATGCAAGGTGGAAAGAAGAGAGAGAGAGAGAGGGGTGCTATTTAGGCTGCTAATGTATGTCTGTTTTGCATATGAAGTTGCAGTAGTTGCAGCAAGTGGTGACTGGGGAGGGGGGAGGTTGGACATCGGGTAATTTGCATGTCGCATGTAAGATTGCAGGTTATGATGGATTGGGGAAAAAAGAGCATCGGTGCCGCTGTGGGGGACAATCAATCTTGGTCTGTGCTTCAATTTCCAGAAGAACTTCCGCATTGCGTTTAGCCTGCATGTACGAAGTAACTGGTAAAATTGTAAGCATGTTTTGAAACAGAATATTATTATCGGGGTATCGATACGCGCAGGATTTCAATCCTGACATCATGATTATTGCTGCTTCTGGTGTCGGGGCGGTACTTTACTTCTTGTTTCCACGGCCTCGGATGATTTACGTGCACACTGTCTTGGGGGTTTGTGTTTGTACCTGTCAGAAAACATCAGAAACAGCAGAAAACATCCCCCTTTTGCCCCGGAGTGTCTGTGCGCGTCTTTCCCCATCCTGCTTTGCTTGTATCTCGCCAGGCACAGTATTTCTCATGTAACCTCTACTTTACTTACCATACCTTGTGCTCTCCCTCTCTTTCTCTCCTCTTCTTTTCCGGATCTTTGTCCTTTCTCACCCATCCATTGATCTCCTTATCGGCCTTTTTTTTTCACCTGGGTGGATTCTCCGATCCATCCACACATCTCTCTTGTCATGCAACACGGTCCGGATCATCACCAAGATAGCAAAAGTCATCGTCATGGATGGATCAACTCCGCCTCAGACCCAACGGATCATCCTCACCCGGGGCTGTTTCAATCCATGGTGAGCTGAGGGAAACCCCACGAACATCATCCTCACGACGTTTGTGTGGTGGTACACGCACCCGCCCCTCTTGTCCACCCTCGGGTGACGTTAAACCCCACGGCCTCTGTTGGCTTAAGTCGACGGCCAGCCGCGACAGCAACTTTGGGGGGAACCCGCGCAACTCCAGCTCTCGTTTCTTCTTCTGTTTAGCTCCAACCCTCTTGACTGCCACTGCGCGCTTTTTCCTTTGCGCAGGCAGTGCCCATCCATGCTTGGGAGGGAGGGTTACTGCTGACTCTCTCCGTCGCTGAAGTAATGCTCACCCATTCCGTCCCTCCCCCCTTCCCTCATGTGCTGGGGGGAAAGGCTGCTGCTGCTCGTCCACTGCCGAGTTCCTCCTGCCTACCTACCTGGCCCTGCCCTGCCCTTTAATTCTCCCTCCTCCCTCCCTCCCTCTCTTCCTTCTCCCTCCCTCTCTCTCCCTCTCTCTCTCCCATTCTTGTCCCGTTTCTTCCCCTCTCACTAGCCGTTCATTCCCCTTTCGCTTTACTCTTACTGTCCCTGCATTGCGCCTTCCTGGCCTGGGACTCTCTTGACATTTGTATACTTGCGCCATTGACCTGGCCTGCTTCTTTATTCCTTAATTCACACTCTTAATCTCTTTCCATCCCTAAGCGCCTAACGCGCCTTGAACCATGTCTACCCGTAAGAGAAAGCAAGAGGCTGAGGAGGAGGAGCTTCAGGCGCTCCCTAGCGATGAGAGCGAGGAAGAAGAAGAGTAAGTCGCTTACTGCATTTCCTACTTCTAGCTTGTTCGCGAATTTGCGCGCATCCTCTTCAATACCCCCTACTGCTTCAGCTTCAGTGATGTTTGTTCTACTTTCATCTTACTCTCGGGTGCCTACTCTGCGCGCATCACTCATTGGTGCTTGTTGGTGGCATTCTGTCGCGTTACCCTCTATTGCATGCATCAATCAGTTGAACTTCATTGATTATTGGCCTTCACTACGCATGGATACAAATGGCTGATTTGGTGCTACTACAGGTATGAGGACTCCGAAGTAGCCGAAAGCGAGGAAGGAGAGGAAGAGGGAAGCGAAGAAGAGGAGCCTTGAAGAAGAAGAGGAGGGCGAAGAGGAACCTGAGGAACAAGGTGAGTTCAGACTTCCAGCCTCGAGTCATACTACATATTTTGTACTAATGAGTATACTTTTTATCTTAGCTCCTCCGGCTCACAAGAAGCGAAAGACGGCCGCGGCGCCCGAAGAAGAGGAGGAAGAAGAAGAGGGCAAGGAAAATGGCGAAGCTGAAAACGGTGAAGGCGAGAATGGTGTCGATGAGGAAGAGGAGGAAGCCCCCGAAGACGAAGAAGACGCCGAGGAGGCTCCTGAAGAGACAGCAAAGAGCAGCGCCCCTGCCGCCGCTGCTAGTAAGGCCAAGGCTGGCGATGTACCTAAGGAAGCTGAAGCCGATGTTGCTGCAGAGGAGGAGTGAAGTCCTTCCAGCATGGCGTGATAATGACCCCGCAGTATTGACTGCTGTCGCGCTGGCAATATTCTATTGATAAATTTATGTGATTTTTTGCGAGGATATAGTCCTTAAGGCACATGCTCCTATTACATGAAGCTTAGGCAAAGCCATTGTTATTTCTTTTCATTCACGTGTTGTATCTGTAGCTGCAACGACAACTGCCGAAGCACCGTAAAATGGGGGGGTACGGAGGAGTCGGAATCTTTGGAGAAGAGCATGACTACTCCGCACGGCGGCTTAGCCGGGACTCCAGCTAGAAACCAATACTGCTATTTATCCTTCTGGACAGATAGCTACTAGGGCAACCGAATCGACCTATCAGACGGAGCACAACCTCTTTTCCACAGTTCAATCACATCCTCAATTTCAGCTGCAACCCGGGTATTAATGATAAATAATCAGATATGCTAAGAGACGAAATTACCGCACACGCTGAAATGAACAAAATAAAGGGAAAAGGGGAAATGTAGAATAAGGATAGTAAGAAAGAAAGAAAAAAAAAAAAGGTAAAATAAGATCACATGAAGAAAAGTAAAAAGAAGTAAAATAGGAAATGAAGACAGAAAACGCATCACATCAAACAATAGGTGATATCAGTCAATAAGGCCATACAGAGTAAGTAGTAAGTAGTAAGTAGTAAGTAGTAGGAAAGTAAGTCTCTTGTCCCTTATCGCTTAATTCGTCCCCTCTCTAATAGATACAATCTCCTCTGCCGCTTCTCCGAGTTCAACCATCAAGTCCCCCTCCGCCCCTTCCCTTATTTCTTAGGTATCTTCTATGTCATATATCATTGGGAAAGAGTAAAGGAAGAAAAAGGATGGAAAGATAGCAGACACTACGCTACCTTCTTAGTCAAAGTAGGGCAGCGTACTCTGTCCTAGGTTGAAGATTTAACCATCACTACCGCTGCTGCGGAATGTGGCGCACAATTGGCAATACTGATGGGTTAGATCAAGGACCGGTTGAGGAAGGTTCGTCGCTTGGACTATACTCCGGACTTTGACAGCGCCTTCGTCTTCGATGAGTTTGCGGATTAGGTAGAGAAGGTCGGGAGAGAACTAGATAAGAGAAGGTGTCCTTGTTAGTTTCATTGTCCATCGTCGAGAACAACAGGGAATGTGGCACATACCTCGGAGTACCAGCGATACTGCCAAGCGATAAGACGGATCAAGGCGCCTAACATTCCTCTCGTGTCATTCTTCTTCTCGTACAACTTGAGGAGCCCCCGCATGGCTTTCGGGGAGAAGCGGATGGCCAGACAGTGCTGGTAGGCTTCGATACCCTCGTCGAAATGGTGCAGGCGTTCGGCTAACTCGCCGAGGATTTCCCATTCGGTGGCGGATTTCTTGTACTCAATGGCCTGTTGGCGGTACTGGGCCATTTCGGTGCGCCAGATGGTGTAGATGCGGAGGTCTTCATACAGGACCATGAAGAGGTTATCGAGCCATCTTTCGCACAGACGCTTGTTGCGGAACTGTGTGTAGGATGAGTGTGAGGGGTCGGGCTAATAGCACGGACGCGTTAGTATGAGATTGACGGGAGATGGATTGTAGACTTACATCTTCGCTGCCGGATTTGACGACTTCCGATGCCATTGACTGCTCTGGTTTCTCGATGGAGTGCTCCGTTTCTTCGTCTTTGGTGCCGTTTGCGCCCTCCTCCGGCGTCGCACCATTCTCCTGCTCACTGTTTCCATTTGGCTCGTCTGATGTGCTTGCAGAGGAGGGTGAGGTTGTGGGCTTAGACGTAGACTGCTGGCGCTCGACACGGTATTCCTCTTCCATGACAAAGACTTCGCTGCGGATTTTCAAAAGTTGGTCCCAACCTATCGCGGCGGCAATCTTGGTGAGAAGGTTGTACGCCTTTAGGAAGGTTCCCTGGTAGGCAGCAGCGTGGAGTCTTCTTAGTGAGGGATGGACGTAGTCGTGGGGATCACCCTGCTTGGGCTGTCCTTCGTCGATTTCGTCCAGCATGCTCTCAGCAAGAATCGGGAGCATGATGCGAGACGGTTGGGGCATACGAGGCGTGTCTTTGTCTTGGTATGTGAACATGGGGCAAGAGTTCAGGGTTAGGAGGGCCAAATCCCATTGCTCGAGGCCGACGTAGACCTCTGCCAATCGTGCCCAAGTGCTAAACTCGCTTGGAGCAGCAGTCACTGCTCGCTTCGCACACTCTAGGGCCATCTCACCCTCGCTTTTGCCCTGGCAGAAAGCAGCCTGGCAGTCAAGCAGGGCATAGTCCATGGGAACATCTTGCAAGGCGTCGAACATCAATCGCACGGCTTGCACCTCCTCGTCTGCCATGATTAGAACTCGGGCAAGAAGTGACGAGACCTCTACATCTCGTGTCCGCAGCTTCTCGAAAAGATTGATACCGGAAGTGTAGCGTCCTGTTGTTTGAATGTACTTAAGAAGGCCGGACGTCAAGTGGTTGCTGACAGTATTCGGGACTTGTGTTTCCGGATCCGAACTGAGTTGTCTTCCTGCACTTTTTATCAGCATTGGGGTTTATTGATAGTCAACTGTGGAAGCGCACCCAAAAAGAAGAGTCTCTCCGCAGCATCCAGGAATTTGTGCTCCATCTCCGTATTCGTGACCGGATTGAACCGACGCACCCCGACTATCTTTCTGATAGCATCGCCACCACCATTGTCCGCGTATGAGTAGGCTCGCAGGATTCCGCACAGGAATGTCTCCAGCCAAAGGGCTTCTGTCGCAACTCGCTTGTCTCCGCGTTCATCGATGCAGTAGCTCTCCAAAGTGCCGGGGATTTTGACTTCGACGCGCATGTCCAGGTGGGAGAAGGCATTGTAGCAGCTGTTCATCCATTAACACTTGCGCAACGATAAGTACATCCAAGCGAGTATCTTTCTAACCAATAAATCCCCGAAACCACCTTGTGTGTCTTGTCGAGCGGAGAGAATGTAAGCGTATTTACATAGGCGGCTAAGCTGGCGGAGGAAGAGGCGTCGACACCGGTGACATGGTGATAAACGCCGGTCTGTATTCCAATCCCAAAACAATTAAGTTAGTCATTGTTTCTCCCCATTTGTCAATGAAAGTCTGCGCCCGCAGTTCCGGCGACGTACCTGGTGATGGGCGTTGGTCTTGGGCTGTTTAACCAGATAAACCAAGTCCGGGGGACCTAATTCCCGGAGGTTCTGTAGGGACTCGGAACGGGCATCGACGGCGGCGTAGATGTTCTCCTCCTCCTCATAGATCCTGGGGAAACATTCAGGGGTCAGTCGCAGGTCAATGATAGTGGGCCCATTGGCCGATTGATAGCGAGTGATAGAACACGTAAACGAGGGGAAGACATACTCGGGAACAGCTGGCGCGACCATGGCGCTGGCAGGAGCGCAGACAGAGGCTCAGGGATGATCACAAGGGGGAACCAAGGAGGATAGGAAGCACGAAGGCGCTTTCACGACGGGAGAAATTGAAGACAATGAGGCGCAGCAGAAAGCGCAGGTCGTTGTTCAAGACCAAACGGAATGGCGACGATCGATGAATGCCTGGCCGCTTCCTCAGGCAACTGCTGGGTCAGGTACCCCGGTACCGCCTTTGCCTCTTTCGGTAATTCCCGCCCGCGCAACGCGTGTCTGTCACGGGCTCCTTCTCCAGTTCCATTATCGAGTCTCCAATTCTAGACTCTCCGTTCCTTCCATTCACCTTCTCAATCTCCACTCCACGGCATTACCACCTCCCAGGTTGGGCCTTCCCTCAGGTAGCCGGGGGTTGCTTGTCTTTCCTCTTGAAATGTGGTCTAGCCGGCCCGGTTTTACTACTACTATCAGGGAGCTCGCTGCGCTCTGCCATTAAACCGGCATTATGTCCAGCTGGGCAGCTTTGAATATTGAACCGGATGAAGCTATCGAGGAAGAGGTTGATGACACCAAAGAGATTCAAATCGAGGAGGCGCTTAAGCTCTATCAAAATGCCCTGAAACTCCATTCCCAGGGTCCACAATTCTATGCACAGGCCAAAGAGGCATATGATGCTCTGTTGGACTCGGAGATATTCAAATATCCCGAGTCAATCTCTGATTACAAGAGAGTAGCCACTCAGGAATCCGAACCGCAGTATGATGACACAGTGGCGGCGGGTGCGGCTGAAGCACTCGCGGAGTTTGACATCAGTGACTCCACATCAAGCACGCTGATGCAAACCATATACCTATCGTACAAAAACCACGGACAGTATATCCTGGATGCGTTACGCGCATCTCTGCAGGGTATCGCTGAGTCGTCTAACATTGCCGAGGATCCCCGGAGCAAAGTCAAGGAAAGAACTAGCGCCGCCTTGACATCGTTCGCAGAAGCCCTGGAACGTGACGACTCGGATCTGAACCTCTGGAGACAGAGCGCAAGACTCTGTAGTGCTTTACAAAGCTATAGACTAACACGATACTGCCTGGAGAGCGTACTAGCAGACGATGACAACCGCTTAGAGGTTCGGACAGAGCAGCTAGGGTTAGAAGAAACATTTGCTGAAGAGCGCCTGCGTGAAGTACTGCGGTCGCTGCTTGATAGGCTGTCTGTGGCTCAAGTGCCCTTGAAAAAGCCGAAAAAGGCTCTTCTCAAATTCCTACAGCGCCAGGCAGACCCGTATCCCTACCTCCCTCCTCTTCCAATAGATCTGCAAGACACAGATCCGTCAACGAACCCTCTTGCCTTACAGGCTTCTCGTTATGATATCAAACCAGCTAGCCCTACATGGGCCGCCGTTGGCAAGTCTATACTTCAAAGGCTTGCTGATGAAGACATCGGTGCCTCGGAGATTGGGCCTGGGGCTTCAGTTGGTATATCGCTGCCTACTCTCAGTCCTGAAACAAAGGCCGTAGCATCTCAACGCCGAGCCTCAAATGTACAATCTGGAGATGTCAAATCCAGCCAGCAGCAGGACGTTGTCATGTCTGAGGAGCATCAACCCACAGTGAAGTCCGAAGGACCCGATGCTGTACCAGAGCAAGTCGATGACCATTCATCCATCGATCAGCGCGCAGAGAAACAGCTCATGGAATCGCTAGAGATTCAATCAACTCAGCCCACTAATCCTGGAAGTCAGCAGGAGACTGCAAATACAGATGAAGTTGATGTAAAGCCGTCAAGTGGCCGGAAACGGTCATCTGCCTCTGCTGTTACCGAGGACCAGGCAGACCGTATACGGGCCAAAGCCAGGAGGACCCGCCTTCGTGAAGCTACCGAGGATGTCTCATTCCAGAGTGAAGAGGTCAATATCGACTTGAACAAATACTACGAGGATCGTCTTGAGAGTTTTACCCAAGCTGACGAATGGCTGTTCGGTACTGTGGGTACTTTGCTATCCAATCTTGATGTGACAGAGCTTGGAAGCATTGACGATCTGAGAAAACAAGTTTTCGCTACCAATGAGGGCAATGAAACTGCAAATGCCGTGGCCTGCGCCCCTGAGGACGCAGAGTACTTACTGGTCCGTGATTTGATGGATATCATCAAGTCCTGGGATGAAGCTAAGTCCCAGGTCATGCACCAGCCAGACAATCTGTCCACGCTTCAAGACATCCGGGGTATGGGGAAATCTGGTATTGCGATTTTCCTTGAACATTCAAGGAAGTCGACCAGGAAATTAGGCATGAAACAAGCGCTCTCCGGAGAAGCTGAACTCTACATGTTCCTAAGGATAGTGAATGACGGATGGCTTTCCTTGCACGATGTCGCCCTTTGCTGGCTCAAAGCGCTACTAATGCCTGACTTTGCGAAATATGCGACGGATGACATAGTATTACAGGACGGACCTGTCATGGAGTCGGCGTATACCCTTTATCAATGGCCGGATGCTCTGAAAGAGACAGTTGTACAACTCCTGCTACATGAAGACGAGTACATCTACAGACATATGCGCGAACAAGTTGACAATCTTGAGAAAGACGTTCTGTGCATTGGATCTGAAAAACCATTCTCGTACAGCACTCAATACTTGTCAGATTTGGAAATGCTCCAAACCCTCTTCGAGCTTCACCTCGACATCTATGCGTCTATCAACAATCCAAACAGTGAGGTTGATGGTCAAACAAGACTACTGCAGCGCGATCGCTTGGCAAGATGGTGCTTGCTCGCGCGGACATCGCTCACCCACTTCCTGGATCACAGCTCTCCTAGCTCCACACGGGAAAGAATGGTGCTCCGTCACATCTGGGCATCGACGTTCCATTCAAACATGGCTGGGGATATTCAGAGGGAGCATGTCCTTCTTTGCCTCCAGGAGCTGAAACTTTTCTTGGTAGCACTCAAAAACCCAGCCATAAGCCTGGTGAACAATGCAGTGATGCCTGAGCTGTCGACCGAGGCAGTTGATCAAGAGATCTCCAAACTCAAGTCGATGGATTTCTTCATGAAAATATTTAACCCGACGTCGGATGACCCTGTTGGTCTGATTGAGACTATCGAGCCTATCCTCGAGCCTTCATCTGTCCAATTCGGCGAGGGTCTCGAAGGAGAAGAACCTGAACAACCAGCTTCTCAGCTCCTTGAAATGGCATCCTTCTTAGATCGCGGAGATGCTACTTTGAGGCTTTTCCTCTGGAAGAGACTACAGGACGCATACAAGAAGATTGATTATTCTCCTAAAGTCGTTTCCTGCTACCTCCGCAGCATCGAAATTATCATGAGGGAGCTTCGCACTCCTGCGCATCTCGAAGAGCCCGGTGAGCACCGTCAGATAACTCTGCTCAGATGGCTTAAATCACTCGACAGTATCCTAAATAAAGCTGTCACGATCGTCTTACATGAATCAGATAAGGCTTATGAGTGCTTTGACATGGAACACTTAATATCATCAATGTCTGCAGTAGCTCGTCTTACGAAGCTCCTCCACAGTTTTGCGTTGTACGAAGACTTGGTTCGCGTAGGGAAGCTGTCCGGACCGGAGGTCCGTGGAGCATTGGCGAAGTCTCTGGAGGGTCTCAAAGATAAGCTGCGCGAGATGCAAGTACGTTGCTGGATCCTGCAATATACGCTATTGAAGGATGCCATTACACAGAATCCTGAAGCTTTCGATACTCCCCTGGAAGACCGCATACATTACTTACGATCGGTGCACAATGCGCTCGGAATCCGCAGAATGTGCAGGTTCTCCCATAAGCAATTTCTCAAACTGGTCAGGTCTGAGATATTCACTCTCGACGTGGAGCAGGACACCGAGTTGGATATCTGTCAAATTCTGTACGATATCTATGGTATCAAGTTGTCCCCAGTGGATGGTTCATTGAATGACCATGGATGTCCTCCCGAAAAGCTGGACCGCTCCACGGCGATCGTCATGGTGGACTTTGTTATGAGGCAGGCTAAAAAGATGAATATCAAGGACTTGTCCAAATCTGAGCTGAAATCTACTATTTACAAGATGCAGCAAGCCATCGGTACTACGAAGTCGTCGCCTCCACTATCATACAACAAGCGTATCATCACCGCCTACTTGAAGTCACCAATCAATCCTTCAGAGATTTCCCGCGCCATTCAGGGAGTGGCTGACCTCCCACTGATTCCTGTGCCTGCCGAGAGTGCAGTTATCGCTCAAAACGGTTGGTATTTCCTCTTGGGCCATGCTGCTTTGACAAAGTTCCGCTCCCAGAAGCGCCTGAACCCCGTACCCACGACGGACCTCGACGATGCCATCATATGGTTCAGACAAGATTTGGAGCACGGAACGTCAAGATGGGAGACCTGGTACCGGCTCGCCCAGACGTATGATTCGAAGCTTGAGGAAGATATTACCTGGTCTGCTGATAAGATCAATAACAATCGGATGGAGTTGGTCACCTGGCAACGCAACGCAATTCATTGCTACGCAATGGCAATTGCAACAGCTATTAAATACTCAGAGCCAACACCTGAGACACGTGCAATGCTCTCAGATCTTTTCACGGATTTTGGTATCCGTCTATACTCTTCTTCGCGAGCGCCCCTTTCAATGGGGGCCTTCAGTCTGGCTGATTTCACGCGGCATTTCAGTGGCGAGGAAGATCAGCGGATGTATGAAGGAAGGCCTTTCAGGGAGATGAAGCTTTATACTGTCTGGAATCTTGCGAGCTACTTGCTTAAGCGCGCCCTTGTCGACAAGCCCAAGAATTGGATGTATGTTACCCTGGTCCTCCGCCGGTGATCTGTTATGAGCTAACTGCAGCTTAGGACTCATTATATGCGGAGTAAATGCCTCTGGAAGATGTTCAGTTGTGATGAATCCGTCAGAGGTTCTTTTAGACGGATTGAAGTCGACGTTGTCCTGGATTCCCTACTCGATGCCATTGATGCCCTGCCGCAGCGGAAGGATTCACGCTCGGATCCAATTTTTGAGCCACATTATAAGCTGGTCTCGATCGTACACAAACTTGTGCATCGTGGGACCCTAACGGTATGCGAGTGTCTATTCTTAACTCTGTTGACTCGACTGACTTTGCTCTCAGGCTGCGGAGGGAAGCAAGACGCTCTTGGCAACACCTTGGGCTCGCAAAGTCCAGCCTCCGGAAGACCAGACGGCATGGAAGAAATACATACTCGAAGTGCTTCGGAGCCTGCAGAAAGCGGACAAATCAAACTGGCATCATCGTATGGCTGTCAGGGTACGTACACTCTCGTCTACTATGTATTGTACTGAGCAATGTCTGACTGTGCCTAGGCTGCGCATATTATGTACGATGATGACAAGGACTCTGCGGATGCAGCTGCCTCCGCAAAGAACGAGCTTACCCAACAGATCTTCACCAAAACAATGACAATACAGGTTTGGAGACCTGAGTTTGAGCGACCTGGTCGGCATTTCGTTTACACCACACGGTACGCGTACTTCTTCGTCAATCTCCTCGACCAGCTCGATGATCGAGCAAACCTTGACCAGTTGCTGCGCCGAGTGAGGAAGAAGCAGGGGGATTTCATCAACCACAGCAAGCTCTGGGAGGATGCGTGTCTTACCTATGCCAGGGTAATCAGGAGAGCTGGCCATATCAGCGAGGGCCATGAAGAGGGCGTTTTCAAGCCCATTGGTTGGGAAGAATTTGTCGCAAACACAGCTCGTTTAGAGGGTCTTTCACAATTATCCCCAGAGAGCCCATCCCTTCTTGAACTTCTTCGAGATGCTATTGAGCTGAAAAAGCTCAACAACAACCTTATGAAGGTCTCGTTGCTCGAAGACCTTATTGCAGACCTCTATGCCCGACTTTACGAAGTCAACATGCCACAAGTCATCGAACAAGCGAACGAAGAAAATAAAGAGAAGATGAAAGTCGATCATCTCCTCATGGTTAGTGACGGAGCTGCTGATACTCCTACGCCTCCAACCTCAGCCCCAGCCTCTGAAGCACCTGCACCTCGCGGTCGCACAAAGGGTATCGCACGACGTGACGTCCAAAAACGAGCGGAAACGATCGTGAACCGTAAAGTGCCCCCACGTGCACCCATGGCCAAAATCCCTGCCACCACAGAAGCCGAGCAAGCCAACACTTCCGAAGCTGGCCCAACCTCCGCTCCCAAGCAGACAACCAAATCAGGGCTGTTAGGATCTACTACGGAAGATGTAGGATCAGGACAACAGAGCGATATTCCTAACAGCTTGCACGATAGCGCGGATGATGAGAGCGAACTCAGCGAAATGGACGACGAGAAACTGGCCAAGCTGACAACCGAACGCAAGCTACTGTTCCCTAACCTCGATGATCGGGGCTCCATGGATCCAGAATCAGAGCTAGCGAGTGCAGACGGGGATGGAGGTCATGAAATGGAGGGAGATACTGAGCTTGTAGAGGGCGAAGGCGAGACTATGGTCGAAGAAGCCGAAGACCCTGTCGATGGTGATGACGATGAAATGGAAGGCGAAGAAGAAAATGAAAATGAAGCTGGCGGCGACGAAGATATGGAGGGTGAAGGTGAAGGCGAAGGCGAAGATGAAGGGGATCCGGAAGAGGATGAAGATGGAGAGGGAGATGGAGATGGCAATGATATTACCGAAATGGAAGGTGTGCAGGATAACGACGAGATGGATGACGCTGAGCAGGCTGAGATCCCTGGAACAGATCAGGAAAGTGAAGCTGGATCTGAACCGGAAGCAATGGAAACCTAACTGAAGGTTATCCACCGTGCGAGTGTGGAATCATTCGTGCTCATGTTTGAGACGACTTTTTGACCTTCGAAGTATGCGTTAGGCTCTATTATACTTGGCGTGAAACGGGACAGCAGGCGTTTGGGGGGCACTTCTCAGCAAGGTTTATGTATCATAGAAATATTAATATTAAAACAAGGGGAATATTGGTATCAACTAAATAATCCACCAGAACGCCCGATACATCCTTCCCAACCGTACGCCATCAGAGCAAGTAATTATGTCCAACGAAAGATATCCTGCCAAACGAATACAAGGAGACGGCGGTCTTTCGGTAACAGCTCAGATATCTTCCTCGGGGGCCAGGTCCCATTTCCGAGTGGCCATCTTTCTTTGTCTCTTGCCAGGTGAACTAGCGGGCTGCGGTGCAGGAGAGAACATGCTATCCGCAAGCTTTAGCTGGTCCATTCGCTTGAGAGCAACCTCAATATCACTCTCGCGTCCGAAGATATTAGAGTTGCGAGAAGCTTCTAGAGTATTCTTTGACCTGGATTTCTTGGTAGGAGAGCGGCAGTTCAGTTCGCGTTCAAGGGCTGCTATCTTGCTGCGAAGCTGGTCGTTCTCAAACTCGAGGTCTTCAACCCGCTCGTCTGAGGAGGGTTTGGGGTCTTCATAAACTGAACAGGCTGTTAGTATGGTAAGAGGGAAGATGTTAGCAGGCGCAACTTACTTTGGAATCCTCGTGACACGATTTCGATCTTCTTGTCGAGGTGCTCGTCGTTGAAACCAGACTGGTTTAATTAGTATATGGCGAATCAGCGTGCATTGGAATGAGACTTACTTGTTGATCCAAGGCATTTTGCCATCTCTTTCGCTCTTCTTCCATGCGCTCGTCCATCTCATTCCAACATTCTTCGCGCACTTCTTGTTCGATCAAGATGCATCTTTCTTCGCTTGCCTTGAGTCTTAGCTCGAAATCAGTCCGGAGAATCTCTTCCTCGGCGAGTCTCACTGAGAGAGATTCATTCTCTGTGGTCAACCTCGCGATTTCCGCCAGGGCCTTCTCAAGCTCTTCGTTTGTGCCCATGCTGGGAGTATTGCGTCCACTGGCAGATCCGTGACGAGATCCGAGTGTGCTGGACAAGATAGATTCGGCAATTGAGGGGGCCCTAGGCACGGCAACTTCACGAGCTAATGCCGAGTAGCGCAGGATTTGGGAAGTCGCGTTGTAATCTCCCATGGGATCGGCAGTGACAATCATAATGGCCTTCTGTGGGTGGCGGTTGAAGCCAGTAGTCTGGTTGGAAGACGGGAAAGAGTTCGAGAAAAGTAGCTCGGTGAGCTTGCATTGTCTGAATGGGACCATGGCAGCCTATTCAGGTTAGCATCAGGAATCGATAACAAGCCAGCTTCGTAGCATACCTTATTTCCGTCCTGTATGTCACTCTGCATTTGAAGACATTGGCCAAGGTACATCAAGCTCTCGTTAATCTTGCCGGCCTCTGCCAGGGTCGAACCAGCCGTTTTAGCAGTCCGCGCGCGCTCAGAACCTGTTCATGTTAGCTTCACCACAGCAAGCGAAGAGTCAATACTCACCAGCAAGATCTGCCACCGTGAGCGTGTTGCCTATCCAAGTTTCTTCACCAGTTCTCTTGTTTCGCATTCTTCTCTTGACTTCCAAACAGAAGAAACCATGACTACGGGAACTGACGCTGTTGGCTCCGGTTCCAGTGACCTTGCGCTCAGTAAGGCCGACTTCGAGGACCGACAAAGCCTCCTCGTAGGTGCTGCATGCTATCTTGCGCAGTCCCGCAACAACCTTGCGGTCAGGGGAGCCTTCCGTTGGCTTAAAAAACAAGGCTCTGCGTCTGTCCTTCTGTGAATTTCCTCCCTGACGGGACATCGTACTTCCTTGGCCCGGTACTATAGCGGGTGACAGTAGATCAAAGATGCGATCGTTGTAAACTTCGTACATCGACACAAGGACGACATATTCGGAATTAGGGTTCAGCTCCATGGTGAGGTGGCTGACATCGGGCGAGCGAAGCAGGCCGTTGGGACGTTGGGGCATATTGCGACGGGGGAATATAAGGGCAGGTGTCGGTTCCTTTGCCAGTTGAGACAACATGTTAGCATGAGCGGAATTATTAAGACTCAAGTGGGTGCACGAGTCGTGCTTCATCTTTTCTCTCAATTTAGGATGCATCTTGAGAAGGTTGATGTAGCATGTTCTCGAGAGAGATTCGCTGTATATTTTTGGATAGGGACCAATACGGGCAGTGGCCAGAGGGGAAAACCGCGCGGTGCCTTGCAACGGTGTCTTGGGGGGAGGGCGCCATACCGTCATAGGGGTAGCTCTTCCAGTGCTCATTGGCGTCTGGGCTCTCGAGTTTCTTCCACGTTCGGCAGGGTCGCCATACACAGCCTCGAGGAATGTTTGCGCCGTGAACATTTGGGCTTCGGAACCGTCTGACGCGGCCACAGTTGACAGGAGAAGAGGGCTGATGGAATTGTCGGGTGGCCTGATAGTAGAGGCCAGAGAATTGAAGATAAGGTCAAGGCTCATCTGGGTAATTCCTCGCTGCGACTTCGAACCTAGGATTGTATGGCTCTGTAAGTTGTCACTGTCAGTACGTGTTCACGTTCAGTTATGGTGGTAGGGGTAGAACGGACCTTTCCGCTACCTGTTACTCCCAACGTCGCAATAAGGCCATCCCTGCCTTCAACCAATACCCCCCTAACCAGGGAGTCCAGCTCGGTGCCATGGAAGACATCTAGTTGGGACGCTGACTCTTCGAACACCTTGGTGAAACCGAACCTTTCAACGGCACGCTTTCTAGCATCGGATGGGGGTTGCAGGGTGATATGAGTGGGAAATGCAGCTGCCGTTTCCTGGCCATCTTCAACAGTGACCTTTGGCTCTGGAGTCTCGATTGTCAAGCATCGTTCGGCGTGTTCCTCCAAATGCTGCGGCATAGGTGGCCGCAGGCGGAGGTACACCTGGAATAGAGATGCGGGGGAGGACTTTGTCGAGCTCATGGTGGTAAGCAGTCCACGTTGTCTGTTCACATTCGATTGAACAGAGTGGAGTAACTGCGAGATGTCGTGCGTCTTTCGGCGATATGAGGTCCAGATCGAAGCACCATCGAAGCTGGAGAAGGCGAGACTTTCCCCAGGCCAGCAATCACGTTATGTTGACTTTGCCCTTTTGGGTTGGTGTCCTGTTGTCCTGACAACTGGTGGCGCATGATGTAAGCTCGTATTTGTATGCCTGCAGATTCAGGCGGGAATTAGAGTTTCTAGTGCGAGTGACGGGCCTTAGTGCCTGAATGCGCCCGGCTCAGCCTTGCTCGTATTCGCTACTCTTGGCGCTTGTTGTAGTCCAGCAATCTCATGAGCCAGCTGGTTACTTGGGTTTGGGAGTTACTGCCATGTGACGTGCCATCATCTTTGTGCGATGCCACATCTGGTTCTCAGCCATCGCATGTGGAGCCGCGTAGGGCATTGAGGGTCTTGATTGCAGTAACCAAAGTCAATAAGGTTGAGGCGATGCTTTCTCCCAAGCTCATGGCTCGGATCAGGCACTAACCCAAAATGGTGTGCTCGTTTTCGCTTGTTCTTCGCAGTCAGCGGCTGAAGACGTTAAGGCAGTATATATACAGGGGAGATTTCGAAGATGAAGAAAAAGGCGTGTGCTATCACAACTATCTAGTTTTCCTATCAGAACTTGCTTTTGAGTCCCAGTGTCACATATTCAGGACGGTACACGATGATGCTTGACAAAAGATCCCCATATCGTATGGAACCCCTTCCCGCCAAGCCTTCACATTCTATAGTATACACTAACGCCAAGAAGAGGAGGGAAGCCTCTGGTACTATGCGCCCAGCCAAGGTGCACCCATTTCTTTTGCAATAATGTTCGCTGTCTCTGGAATGGTACACATCTACCAGTGTTGGTATGTATTCTCACACAAGTGCTATGCACCATGCAGTTCCTAACGATGATAACAGCCAATACAAGTCATGGAAAGTGACTGGACTCCTGCCCTGGTCTGCTCTTCTCTTCACAGCTGGGTTCATAACGCGTACTATCGGCGCCTTTGGACAGTGGGGGAATGTGGGCATCTACATTGCAAGCACCGTTCTCTTGCTGGCTGCACCGTGAGTGCTTGTTGATGCGAATTGACCATGAATGTCACTGACTAGCGTGCAGACCCGTCTATGAGGGCGCCAACTACTTCACTCTGGGCCGCATCCTTTACTACATCCCATATCATTCGCCAATTCATCCTGGGCGCGTTTTCACCACTTTTGTGGCGGTTGGTGTGGTGATTGAAGCTATCACCGGCAATGGGGCTGCGCTAGTTGCCAATTCCGAGGCGACTGAAGGTAAAAGGAAGACGGGAGAGGGATTGCTCAAAGCAGCTTTGATCTTGCAACTTGTGTTGATGGCAGCATTTGTGGCCTTGGCTGCCAGATTCCACTACAACTGTTCTCGTGGCGGCGTCTTGAACCACAAGATCAAGCGGGCCTTGTACGTGCTGTATTGCAGTTGTACCCTCATCACTGTGCGCACGATCTATCGAACAGTGGAATATTTTAGCGCTGCGAGCCTCAATGTCTATAGTGGCAACCAGATCAGCCCGATCCTCAAGGATGAGTGGTTTTTCTGGGTTTTTGAGGCTGGTGTCATGTACCTCAACACCATCTTGCTGAATGTCTGCCATCCGATGCAATGGCTTCCACGCTCCAACAAGATATATCTCGCCACGGATGGCGTTACCGAAATCGAAGGGCCTGGTTACGACGATCACCGACCAGTCATCCTGACCCTTATTGATCCCTTCGACATAGTTGGCCTGATCAAGAACAAAGGTAGACAAGAGAAGTATTGGGAAGCCGGGCCAGTCGGCAAACTTAACAAGGATACGCCTGGATCGTTTGCCGTGTAGCTGAGAGCGGGTTGGAATATATGTACTTAGTTATCCTTGAGCCAGGTCTGAGTGCGACGGCGTTTCGGTTATATAGTATAGAATATTTGTCGTGATTATGATGTTTATAGAATATTCCTTATTGAGCTCTGTTGAAGTATCACATTTCCATCTGAATGATCCGTAACAGTAAGTAAAGTAAGTGGAAGGAAGGGAATCGACGCTGACGTCTTCCACTGCGACCAGCCGATCCTCCGCCCCGCCTGACCCGCCCCGCTAATCAATTGCCAAAGAGCTTCGGGGTTTCCCGACCAGCGCAGCTCCCTCTTCCATCTGCACTTGCTCCGCCACGATTCATTTGTCCTGTCACTAATAGTCAGCTTTAGAGGGATTTAGGGCACATTAACTCTACAGTTGGTGTTTGGGGTTCTTCACGTCTCGCAACAACCCCTCTCCGCCGCCGTCTTGACTGTGTCCCCTTAACATCCTACCCCGCTCTCCTTTCCACACCGACAAACACTCCAAGGTTCTAAGGCAAACATATACACATCATGGGAAGCCAAAAACGGATAGCTAAGGTGAATAGAACTGATACTCTCCCCTTCGTAATCTGCGCCACATCCTCCGGATTGGAAAACAAGAGTATGATTGACTAACAAATGACTCACAGGAGCTCGCCGAGCTTGTCGAATCTCCCCCGGAGGGCATCGTGGTAAAGCTGGCCGACGAATCCAACCTTTACGCATGGAACGTATACATGGACGGACCTGAGGGATCTCCTTACCAGGTGAGACTTTCCTACCTGTCACCGACCCTAAACGAAATTATGAACCCTCACTAACACACAACTCTGTCGTACGTAGAACGGCAAATTCCAACTTAACCTGTCCCTTCCCACCGAATACCCCTTCAAACCCCCTACCGTCTCCTTCAAAACGAAGATCTACCATCCCAATGTGACCAACGATGACAAGGGAAGCATGTGCCTGGGCATGCTTAGGGCCGACGAATGGAAGCCTAGTTCCAAGATTTTGGCAGTGCTGCAGTTCGCGCGTCAGTTGCTCGCAGAACCGATGCCCGATGATGCCGTCGAGGGACGGATCGCAGAGCAGTTTAAAAATGACCACAATCGGTACGAGGAAGTTGCGAAGGAGTGGACACGCAAGTATGCCACTGTTTAGTGAGATGATGACTGCTACTGCTACCGCTGGTGCTTGCGGGCCGGTACAGCAGGTAGACAGATACTTTCGGGGGAGCCTGCGTGTTGAGAGTGATACAAGATGACGGGAGATATACACTGAAGAGGGACTAAAAAGACATGAATGTTTTGGCTTGGCTAGATATATACGATATGAACATGTTTGAGCATCACGACTGCATGGGATGAATTATTGTTAGCATTGTTTGCTTGTGGAATAAAGGACATGAAATCATAATAGATACTATATGCATTTGGTGAGACTATTATATATGGGCGCTTACACCTTATCGGCATCTTTAGCACTTCCGGGTGAATCTAATGCAAAGCCTACTCTGCATATGCTGGTGTATCCCCCTTACTCTCTCGACCCTGACTTCCCCGCAGACCATAGATTAATGCAATCTTAATACCCTATAACACGTGTATAACCCAACCAACCCATCCCAAGACCCAGAAACCTCGATCATGATGAACAGCTCGCCCTCGGCAATCCATTCCAAGCAGCGGGACTCATTCCGCTCTTATGCGGGGATCCGAGTACCTAAATGGTATTACACCTACATCAGCTTACCATCACAACTCTCCCATTATCTGAGCATCAAATACTCAGAGCCACTCACTCATACTAGCACATCTCTCAAGCCATAATCGTCACCATGGCCCTCCTCACCACCACACTCACGTACCTCTCCCAACACATCCCCTCCATCCTCTTCACCATCCTCATCATCCACCTCGCACGAAACTACTTCAAGCCCGGGTTATCGCGCATCCCAGGCCCGTTTTTCGCCAAGATCACCAATCTCTGGCGCTTCGTCGACGTAGCGCGGGGCAGAGCGGAGGTAACACATTATCAGCTGCACCAAAAACATGGCGAGTATGTGCGACTAGGACCGAATGTCGTTAGTGTTTGGAATGTGGAGGCGTTGAAGGTGATCTATGGGATTAAGAGGGGGTATAAGAAGGTATTATCGTTATTCTCCTATCTCCGGAAACCCAGGCAGTACGTAATATGTTTGTTTTACCATGCTAACGAAGTTCATGTGTACATAGACCGCATTCTATCGTGTCCAGCAACAACTTGTAAAGGGAAAGCCGACCAGAACGCTGTTTACGACCCTTGATGAGGACCTTCATGCTAAGATTAAACGACCCGTGTCGGCGGCGTATTCAATGAGTACAGTTACCGAGTTCGAGCCGTTTGTGGATAGTACGACACAGACGTTGTTTGCGCGGTTGGATGAGCTTTCGGAGAAGGGGTGTGTGTTTGATATTTCGACATGGCTCCAATACTGTAAGGCATATGCTTTTTGATCCCTAGGAGGAGGATGTAAGCTGATGCGGGTAGATGCGTTCGACGTCATTGGCGAGATGACGTTCAGCAAACAACTAGGGTTTTTACGAGAAGGTCGCGATGTTGAGGGGATCATGGAATCGTTGGAGAAGATGTTCGATTATGCGGGAAAGGTGAGGTGCATGCGAACAGTCTGTGTCTCCTATTCTGACAGGTCATTCGTGCGTAGATTGGTCAGATGCCCTGGCTAGATTATGTCTTGATCAAGAACCCTCTCCGGCAGCTTATTCGGGGCGGTTCTACTGGAGCTGTTGCTCGTTTCGCCCGTGATCGCTTGCATGAACGGCTGTCTCAGGGTGGTAGTAAGCGAGATGATATTCATGAACGCCAGAAGGACTTCTTGACCCGCTTCCTGGAGGCGAAATCAATTCACCCTGACGTGGTCGACGACGCCCAGGTGTTTTCCTATACAACCAGCAATGTGAATGCAGGCTCCGATACTACCGCAATCTCCCTCCGAGCGATTCTGTACTATACGTTGAAGAATCCCAGGGTATTCAGCAAGCTGCAGGACGAACTAAATGGTGCCCTTCAGACCGGGAAAGTTACCATTCCTGTATCGTGGAAACAAAGTCAGGAGCTCCCGTATCTCGACGCAGTCATCAAGGAGGCTCTTCGCCTCCATCCAGCCGTAGGACTCCTCTTGGAGAGGGTAGTCCCCGCAGAAGGCCTCCAATTGCCAAACGGCCCCTTCCTTCCCGCCGGAACTGTTGTTGGTGTCAATCCGTGGATTATCCACCGCCACGCTATTTTTGGCAAGGAAATTGACAGGTTCGTCCCTGAGCGTTGGCTGCGGGGTAACGATGAATCGGAAGCGGAGTTTAAGATGCGAAGGCAGAATATGCTAGGGGCGACGCTGACGTTTGGGGCCGGCCCCCGAACCTGCATTGGGAAGAACATCAGTCTGTTGGAGATATATAAGCTGATACCATCGTTGCTCTTGGCATACAAGGTATGTGCACTGCCATTTGTTGCTTGTCCTAGTAATTTGCGATCTCTGGTTAACGGGTGGCTGTTACAGATTGAATTGAGTGAGCCGGAAGCTGAGTGGGAGGTGGTCAATGCATGGTTCGTACGGCAGAAAGGGATGAACGTGAAAGTGACGCGAGTGGCATAGCATGGAGTACACAGTAATCTGTCAGATGAAACTGCGAGGAGAAATGACTTGTTGTCCGGGATAAGATCCTGCGCTGGATCCTGCATGCAAGGCGTTCTCAGGATGTCCGACGGTTAAGCCCACTGGTAATCTTAATAGAAGGGGAACTTGGCATCATCCCTTTTGGCTGCCACAAAGCGGCACTGTGGTCAAAAGCCGAAATGAACAAGCAAGAGCAATCGAATGTACCGCCCTCTGAGACCCCGACTATCTACTATACTTCTTGTGCGAGAACACGTTCGTCATCGCCATGACGCGCAGGAGACCCACCAGTTGGTGGCATTATCCCAATAGGGACGCACTAGGAATTGCGGTGCTGATTTCCGATAAGGGATCATCAAGCGCATCCTTGGGTTCCGTCCGTATTAATAGAATCAACTTCGCTTTCGCACGTCGCTCCATATAAGGGCGAAGCGGCGGAGCTGAAGTGCATCGGATTACCGGGACAGCGCAATCTCTCAAGGGATGCTATCTAGCTTTAGAGTTTCTGACAGTCCAAATTTTGGTGAACTAAGTTAAGCCATGCATGGGAGACATCCACCCCGACGACTCATATCATAAGGATGCGTCCCAATCTGCCGATGTTAAGCGATACATCAGATATGACCCGAATGATTCGACAGTGGCCAATGGCACCAAAGCTGGTTGCCTCTCGGTAGTAGAGGATAAAGTGAAGCGATATTATCCATGGTGCCTTGAAGCATCAAACTTAATCAAATTGGGTTTAGGGAAAAGTTCCTGAAGCAGTAGGAAGTGGTGGGGCACGGCAGCATCACGGGACGATCGATCCCCGCTAGAATCATGTGACGGAGGGAAGGAACGCTTACTACGGAGTAGTTCTGCTGAAGCTCACTAAGCGATGGCGTTTAATAATCATCGTGCTTGACTTTGGATTGGGGGGAAGATCGGAAAGATAGCCATCCGGTCTTGGTTCGGAAGGGAATACAAACATGGGTGGGCCTCAAACCAGAGAGGGCCAGAAGGGATAAAACAGTTTGTCGACGACAGACTATCAAAAAGGGCAAGCAGCTGTCGAGCGAATCGAACCTTGGCGCTTCGGCGGGTGGGACCCGACTAGGGGCAGCTGAAACCGACTCCGCCCGGTACGCCCGTATTGTGTCAAACCGGTTTTTCGCTTTCCGTACCAAGGAAGTTGCCCAACGCTCGTCGTCATGATGCCCACCACTGGGAACCACCTGCTGGGGTTATTTGGCAGTTGGTAAATGAGCATCTTCAACTGTTATGCCATCCAGGCAACCTGTTTGGACGATCGCTCCTTTATCCAACGGTAGATATGCAATGCATCCAGCCGGTCTCCAGACGGGTCGGGGCGGACCCTCCCAACTGCGAGGGATGTGGTTGGCGCAGCGTGACACTGAGAGATGATGTCCAGCGTCTCCCCATACATAACGTCACCGCGGATGCAGCTTCTATGGAGAACCATGTAGGTAGGAGTGACCTATCACGGTCGAAAAGTACTATGCAACAAGGCGACGGAATAGGCACCTCGTAGATGATAGACGGATGGATAGTTGGTGAAACTGAGAACTCCGCGGACTGCCTGACTTCTTCGAGGTGTGCGAAAGATCGCCCCTGCAACCCTTGTGTAACCCGTCTCGAGGTGAAGAGAAACGCAAAGCCATTGTGAAGTCTACAGGATGCATTGGCGTACTTTTTCTACATGGCACCATAATCCCGAGGTCCTCCGCAAGTGCCTTGTCTGATTGCACTAGATATGAAAAGAATCATCAACCTCAAACGCCGTTGGTGAGACTGATCTCATCCTGGCGTCAGACTGAAACCCATCGTGTACCAAGGTAAAAAAACAAACCAGTTGTAAGGAGAATACGGTACCTGAAATTAGCTGTGAAATTAGCACGGCAAGACTTTTAGCTTACCGGACAGGGTCCGTAATAAGCGGATGGATTTTAATTTTCAACTTCACGACTTCGCTGGAAATCGTACGCGCTAGACTCGATCGAGGCCCGCAGCGATTTTCCCCTTTTCCCTTTCGGCTCTCGCTTTTTATTCTTCGTCGTCGTCGTCGTCCTTCTCCTCTTTTTTTGACTCTTCTCTTGCTCTTGTTTCGTCGTGAGATGAAGTCTCGGATTGACCCTCTGGCAGGTTCGTGAGACTTGGTTGATGGACTGCTGCATCGCGCGCTGCCGGGGCGACTATTAACTTGGCCTGCACATTTCTTTTCCATCCGCTCGTTTCACTTCGCGCCTGACGGGGCAGCTCGACCGCTTGACCGGTCTCCTCACTCGTTCACCACTGCCCTGCAGTCTTATTCTACGCGCTTAACTTCCTCGTTTCTTTTCCTCCTCTTCAACTCGCCTCCCCTTTGCCTCTTTACCCATCCTTATCAACTATCGCCGTCCGCCCCCCTGAAATCAGTCCTCGACTGCGTCTTTCCATTCTACACTCACCAACCAATGTCCAGCGGGAACTGGGATCTATCATCTCGTGGCCATGGTCACAGGAAATGGAGACTTTCGATATCCGCCCCTTGCAGGCGCGCATGATATCCCCAGCCGACGCAGGATCCCGAACCCTCCCCGCCTAGATCCGTTGAGACTCAATCCTCCCTTTCCACGCCCCTCGACCGCCGACGGCGTTCGCCCTCCCCCTTCTCAGCGCCCTCCCGTGCCTTCCCCGCGACTGCACCCTGCAAAGGCGGCTGCTGCTGATCCATCATGGCGCTCCCCATCGCCTCAACCCAAAGATGACGACTATTTCGTCCCCCGCACGCCCGCCCTCCGTACGCCAACATACCCGGTGTCACCCAATCCTCGGCCGGGATATCCTCCCAGAGAGATTGAATTCGATCGCCCACCGCCCCGGAAGCTTCCGCCAGGCGCACCAGGGTTGCGCATTTCCATGTCTACCTCCAAATTGCACAGTCGACGCCAGCGACCTCCTCGGTCACGAGAACGGTATCCAGATGATGCGTATGGGTTGGCATTGCCTCGCGTCGTGCCTCCGGGGAGCTATGCAGACACACATGGAGAGGATGCACTGCGATCTAGTGTTAACTCGGCCATGACGTCGCGATCCAGCATCGAGCAAGCCAGCGGAACTGAGCGCAGTAGTGTTCTCACAAAGAGTAGCTCGATTACCGACTTGTCTCCTGACACGCCCGATGGACCATGCGAAAAAGATGGGGGCATGAGTGTGGAGGATGCCATTTCCATGTACCTCGACGGATTCAGCGATGTCACGGAAGAACCTGGATCACCAGATATATACGACGATGAAAAAGTAAGGCCATGGAGTCCATGTCCGCCCACAGAATATACGCTCGATGATGGCCATACTTCCGATGAGCATTCGCCCGATCTGGATCCCACTGAGGATCTTCCGCCTGTACCACCGCTCCCTGAGCTGAGTGCCCCTGTACGAGGGCCACTAAGCGATCGCCATGAGGCCGAGGAAGTCCCACATGAAGAGCCAACCGTTGAAGCACCATTAAAATCACCCAGTGTCGAACGTCAAGAAAGAAAGGTCGTGCTGCCCGGAGTGGTGCCTCCGCCCCTGCTTTTGGGAACGGACTCGCGCGATCGCTACGGGTTCCGAAAGGCTACCCATCATGTGACCCTGGCCCAGTACGAGGCGTGGAGCAGCTCATACTCCGACTTTGCCGCGAACCAGCGAATCAAGTGGGTGGAACTGCTCCGCCAGAATCGGCTGCCGATCACAGATCCGATCTCCTTCCCGCCAAAGTCAAACAAAGTCAAAAAGTTTGTGCGCAAGGGTATTCCGTCGGAGTATCGAGGAGCCGCCTGGTTCTTCTACGCTGGCGGCTATGAGCACCTGAACCGGAATCCTGGGCTCTACGAGCAGCTTGTCCGGCAGGCCATGGATTCCCCGAGCAACGACGACAAGGAACACATTGAACGCGATTTACATCGAACGTTTCCGGATAACATCCACTTTAAACCCGAATCGGTCGAACAATACGGAGGCTCCAGCGCTGGCGCTGGAAGCAGCAACCCGAAACATGAGTCCGTCACGGTTGAGACAGAGATGATCCAGTCGCTCCGCCGCGTGCTATATGCATTCGCAGTGCACAACCCCCAGATCGGGTATACGCAGTCGCTGAACTTTATCACGGGACTGCTGCTCCTGTTCATGCCGGAAGAAAAGGCGTTCTGGATGCTGCACATCATCAGCTCGGTGTATCTCCCCAGCACGCACGAGATCAGCCTGGAGGGCGCTAATATCGACCTGTGGATTCTCATGGTGCTGCTCAAGGAGACGTCGCCGCATGTATACAACAAGATCGCTGGCGGGCTCGGTGGCGGCTCGCGGGCGCCCGCACTGACGGTGACGTCGCGGCTGCCGGACATCACGTTGGGGCTGACGAACTGGCTGATGTCGGTGTTCATCGGGACGTTGCCCCTGGAGACGACACTGCGGGTGTGGGATGTATTCTTCTATGAAGGATCCAAGACGTTCTTCCGCGTGTCACTGGCTATCTTCAAGTCGTGCGAGCGAGAGATCATGGCGGTGTCAGATCCAATGGAGGTGTTTCAGGTGGTGCAGACAGTGCCGAAGAAGCTGCTGGACGCCAATACTCTGATGGACGACTGTTTCGTGCGACGACACCGGGTTGGACAAGGCCGCATCGACGAGCTGCGCGCGGCGCGACGGGCAGCAGTTCGACACGAGAACATGCGGCGATCGCGGGCGTGGAACAAAGGCCAGATCCAGGCAGCGACGGACGAGTGGCCAGGACGATCGCGAACACCCATCCCAGGCATCGAGCGCAAGATAGGGGATTCGTGGCGACACATGCGGAACCATGCATTTCGGTAGGAGCTGAGGAGTGATGGATGGCTTTTATTGATACCCCCAAAGCAGCTTTATTGTATTTCAACCGGTCAGTCCACCGTTTACCTGGTCCGGACTATCTATTTGTACTCTGCGACCTCTTAATCTTAATAGACTCGCGGGTTTCAGGGCGCAGGCCGGAGGGACTGACGACATGCCTGACGATGTTACATGTAAATACTGCATATTAGCTTAGATATATGAGTGGCATTGATTCACATTTTTATTTCCTCTTTCCTATTATTTACACTACTAATCTAGAGTGACGTTAGGGGAGAGGAATTAAGTTTGGGGATCCGTGGGAAGCCAACACAGCGGCCGGTCGATCCCGCCTCGATGACGCGCTCGAGCTGCAGTGTAACCTATGCTGCCCGGTTGCGACTTGCACTTTCACTCCAGATAATGATGTGTTTTTCACCTCTGACTTTCTCCTCTTCTGCATCCAACAGCACGCAGTCATGAGTGGCCAGGCATCCAGCTATTACAACACCAACCAGAGCTTTGGCGATCAGCCTCAGCCGCCGCCGCAACAACAACACCAACAACAACAACAATATGCGTACTACAACTACGACCAAGCTCCCCAGCCAGCACCAAACCAACACAATGGCGGTGATTATCGAGGACCTGAACCGAAACCTCCTCAGGGACCTCCTCAGGGGCCCCCGCCAACCTACAACCAAGCTGTGTATGGGTTTGATGAAGCTTTCCAAGTCGAACGGCCCAAGTACAATGACATCTGGGCGGGACTCTTGGTAGGTATCCCTATGTTTCCACATATAGAAGGTCAATACTAAACCTCTGGCAGTTCATTGCCGTCTTCCTCGGCTACGTTGCAGTGTCCGGCGTGACCATCCATCGCTATGCGAAATACAAAGGCTTCAGCGGCGGCGGCATTTACGATGCGAGCAACGACTTCTCCCTCAACACAAACACCCTCGTGCTCTTCATATTCGTCCTCTGTGTGGCCCTCGCCTTCTCATATGCCTACTTTCTCGGTGCGCGATACTTCTCCAAGCTCTTCATCTGGGTCACGGGCATCTTGAACATCGTCTTCGCTCTCGCCACTGGTATCTACTACATCGTTCGGGGGCAATACGGCGGTGGCATAGTCTTCCTCATTTTCGGCGTCTTCGCCATCGTCTGCTTCATCAGCTGGATCCCCCGCATCCCGTTCACAGCCTACATGATGGAGGTCTCCATCGACGTCTCGCGCCAATACGGCCACATGTTCCTGGTCAGCACCATCGGTGGCCTAGTCGCCGTCGCCTTCGCCGCCTGGTTCTCCGTCACGCTCGTTTCGATCTACGTTGCCTACGAGCCCGACAGCACCGGCGTCAACCCGGCCTGCCCCAATGGCTCCGGCGGCTGCAGCACCGCCCGAGTCATCGGCCTAGTCGTCTACGTCACCTTTGCCATGTACTGGTTCAGCGAATGGCTCAAGAACACCGTACACACCACCATCGCCGGCGTCTACGGCTCCTGGTACTTCTTCGCCAACTCGCCGCAAGGCATGCCCCACGGTGCCACGCGCGGCGCCTTCCGTCGCGCCACCACCTACTCCTTCGGCAGCATCAGCTTCGGTTCGCTCATTCTCGCCTTGATTCAAATGCTCCGGCAGGCGTGCTCCATCGCGCAGCAGCAGGAAGCTGCCCAGGGCAGTCTCATCGGTAGCATTGGGTTCTGGGTCCTGGGTTGTTTCATCTCCTTGCTCGATTGGCTCGTCACGTTCTTCAATCGCTACGCGTTCTGCCATATCGCCCTGTACGGGAAAGCATATATCCCCTCTGCCAAGGATACGTGGAAAATGATGAAGGACCGTGGCGTGGACGCCCTTGTTAATGATTGTCTGGTGGGTCCGGTGTTGACGATGGGGTCCGTGTTCGTCTCGTATGTGTGCGCGCTGCTGGCGTATTTGTATCTCCAGTTCACGAACCCTGGGTATAATCAGGGCGGGGATTTCACGGCAGTCATTATGGCGTTTGCGTTTGTGATTGGGTTGCAGATTTGTCAGATCTTTATGACCCCTGTGAGTAGTGGCATTGAAACTATCTTTGCTGCTATGGCGTGGGATCCGCAGGTTTTGGTGCATGATCATTCCGAGATGTATTATCGGTTGGTGCAGTTGTATCCGAAGGTGCAGCAGGCCATCCATGCTTGATAGATACCAGTATAGTTAGCAGATGAGTATTGTTAACAGTATCAGATTCGATTCAGATATAATGACAGACTACAGTAAACTACACTAATCATACTACATATCATACTCATGACATAAACCATTCTTCACCTCCCCTATCCCCAACAAGGATAGAATATTATAGAAGGATCAAAGAACCAAAACCAACTCCCGCAACCCCCATCCCAACCGCCATCAACACGCCCCCAATCCCTCCACTCCTCAAACTACTCGCACTCCCCTCAAACAACGCCCCAGTACCGTCACTACTATTAGTCCCTCCAATCCGACTCGCATCAACCCCACTAGGCATCGACATCACCACCGACGACGACGACACCACCGCACCAGATGTCTCTGCCGCCTGCGTCCCAAACAACCTCGCTGAGGTGCCGGTAGCAGTCGCACTCTCCATCCTCAACTCCGATGCATGGGCATCGCCAGTAGCAGTTGAATGCTCACACGCACAGTCCGTCACTGTCTCCGTGTAGAACTTGTATACTACGTTCGGGTTGGTCGCGTCCGTCATGTGCACGCCGTGGTGCTCGGTTATGGTGGCGGGTGCATCTTGTCGCGCTTCTTCGGTTTTAGTCTCCGTTTTGGTTTTGGTGGTCGCTTCGATGCGGTCTTCTTCATCAGATGATGAGTCTTGGTCTTGAGTGGTGGTTGTGGTTGTGTCGGTGCCTGTTGTGGGTGAGTCCGGGGATGGTTCGGTGTTAGGGTCAGGGGAGGTTGGTGCGTATGCGCGCTTTGAGGCCTTGTTGTCGTTCTGGTTCTGGTTGATGGAGTGTTTGGATGAGGATATGTTGCCGTTGCCATTGCCATTGCCATTACCATTACCATTGCCGTTGCCATTTCCGTTGCCATTTCCGTTGCCATTTCCGTTGCCGTTTCCATTACCATTGCCAATGCCATTTCCATTGCTATCCGAGCCCGAGTTGGAGCTGGTTGTATCAACCCGCATCATAGGACTACTTCCCTTTCGAGCGTCAATGGGGACGTCGGTGTCGCTGCATACGTAGTCGGGGATGTTATGTAGTGCTATCGTTATCCCTCATCAGCATGGTCCTCCTTTTCTGGTATAGGACAATAGAGGGGGGTTAGTGGGGTTACGTACAAACACCCTCACTGGCACAACTCTCCAAAGTATCCCGATCCAGAGAAGACGGATCAAATGGGGCGTTGCAGAAGCAGTCTAGTGCTGAAGGGGAGGTGCATTCTGCGCTGCGGGGGTAGGCTTCTGCGATGGAGGACTGCTCTCGTTTGTTAGTCCATTCATTCATTCATTGATCTATTCCAGTAGTTTGGTTTGGTTCCTTGTATGTAAATGGGTAGGGGACACGAACAGCACATTGCAAATAACCCAAATCGCCGTTGGTAGTGGTGGATGTGGCTGCAGCGAGGGAGAGGGTTGATAAGACGAGGAGGGTATGCATCTTGATTTCTTATTTCTTTTCTTGGTGTTGAGTTTGTCGTTGGTTGTTGGGATAGGTGATTTGAGGGAGAAATGAGGTGCTGTGTCTCATACTCTATATATATCTAAGACACTACTAACTTACTAGTGATAGAGTATTAATTATCAAGTAGTATAAGGGTGGCAACATCCCTTGAATTCCAGTCCTGAGGCAATGATATCGGGATTATTGTGTCGATGATCGATGGAGTGGCGGAAGGTTTTGTGTGGAATGTGAGCTGGGTATGTATGAATGTATCATGTTGATTTGCTACACGGTACTGGGGGGAAGAGGTATGTTTCGATTACTCAGGTTTGTTGGTTCGTGTTGTTATTATTTACTTCATATATGTTTGTATGATTTTGATTTGAAGGGGAGAAGTCTGGGATTGGGATTATAGGTTGTTGTTAAGCCTGCAAACATCGTTGGTAGTAAATGAGATACAATGCCAGTCTGGATAATTTGTTGACTCTCAAGAGTTGACACGCGAAAATAACAGATCTGACGGGATATTGTCCGGAGCTATTCTGCGTGTCATGCATCTGTTCGAATTAACTTTCTACTAAAACCTGACGGGGGCTGGTAGTGGAATTCTTATCATGAATTGGCTCTTGATTTCATCTACAAAATCCCTGCGAGTATCGTGACATCAAGGAATGCAACCATATCGAACCACAGGGTATAATTCATATCATCCTCATCAGTCCTTACAAAGTATGACTATCAGTGGCACAACACCGAGTCAGGTTCACCAACATCCAAGCAATCCCCTTGACAACCATTGTAATTCCGTGCACTACCACATTGTACCCCCAGAACAACACCCGCAAGCATCCCTGGGTAATCCGCGGAAGCTCCTCTCCCTCCTGTGGACCTCCTGGGTATCGCCCGTACTTGTCCATGTCGAACTCCTCCACTACGATTGTCCGGTTCTTCGGCCCCTTGGACTTGCGGCTCCAGAACTGGTGCCGCTTTCGATCATCAGAGTTAGGCTGCGATTTTACCTTCAACCACAGCTGACTACCTTCTTTAGCATCCTCCCGCTCTGCTAGCGTAGTCCTCATCTCTTTAGGGCTTGACAAGGGGGAACTTGAAGTCCCCTGGTCATACAGCTTGAGTCCCTCAAGAACAGGTCTCGTAGACTCGTCAGACACCGCCACAGTCAGTAGCGCAGAAACGAGACAGTCAACAGCATATAACGACGGGATCGTCGCAACTATGGACCCCGTCGCTAACGACAAGGTCATGGTCCTCAGATCCAACGACGCCAAAGGCTCATCGGCATCTGTCAGTGGGAGCGTCGATGTGCGAGGCGTAGCCGCCATGGCACCCGTCTCAACGGCATTGGCTGGCAGAGGGGTAGTAACCAAAATGGTGGGTGGTTGGCTGAATTCTCCCTCCTTAGATAGACTAGAAACTGTAATGTGTAGGACGCCCGAATATTTCGAACGTACTGGCGACAGAGGAATGCCAGCAGCACCAACCAGCGCGGGAGGCTGCTTGCACAACGCAGGGTGGTGAAGTTCGTACACTCGTTTCGATTGGTTCCATAACAACTTGCAGGATTCCTGAGCTGCTACTCGTTTGAGTGCTTCTCCTTCTGCTTTGGTCGCCTCCGTGGGTGAGAGACGAAGCTCTCCCGCCACTTCTGCGGCTTGGTCTATGGCTAGGATGCCTGCGAGTCGTGGAAATAGGATCGATACCAGTCCGTCGTAGGGAGGTTGGCGACGAGATTTGTCTTCTAGTTTTAGGTTCATTACGGGGACGCTGCTATCATGTTTGGAGGGGTGTTTTCGGATAATTGATATGTCACTTTTTGAATTGGTTTGCAGTGTATAGAACGGTGATTTTGGGTCTCCGAATGAAAGTATATTGGCGTCGAGCCTGTAGGGGTCAGATATGCCATAGTAAGGTGAAAGAATATACTCACCGTTCAAGACACAGGTTAAAAGTCCCGGGAAGGCTCTGTGGGCGTTGACCGTTGGCAATTTCCCATAGACTCTGCAGCTCTTCCTGCGTGGAATATCTCTCCACTGGATCAAGAACCCCAACCGGAAAGTTAAGCACACTTGCGGGAACTGTCTTAGGCCCAAGGGCGCGATCTATCTCTGGGGGTGGTGTCTCCGACTCAGATCTAGGCAAATCCCAGTGACCATTAAATGAAGGGTCGGGGTAGTAGTGCTGTTGGTTCATCGGAAGGTCGAAGTTATATCGAGGGAACGTCGACTTCATTGGCACCACCGGTGCTGCAGCAGGTGAGCTGTTCTGGGGCGAAGATCTGACCGAGTGTGAAGGGGAGCCAACTCTCTCTGTCGGCCGCTTGTGGCGGTCATGTCGCAGAGGAGACTTAGATGTTTCACGCTCTCGTATTGTCTCTGGGATGGATACTGGGTTCGACCTGGACATGGCCTTTGGCGGCGGTTTAATTCTAGTATGGGTATCCTCGATAAGTTTAAAGATGACAGCTTCCGTAGGACTGCTCTTGTCACGTATCTCCTCCATGGGTCTCATATCTGTAGGTGTCTTCATAGTTGGCTTTCTCGGTACTCTTGGCAGTTCCTTCGATGGTCTGCTATCCGAGGGTGATGGGAAGAGTTGAAATTGATTCATGGTGATGGACTTGCTCAGTCGTCACCTAAAAAAAATCAGACTTTCGTCCTTGGAGTCGTATCTAGTATCTCAATTTGTAAGAGAAAAGAAATTGTCAAACTAATTGCTTCTGTTTAGCCTTGGGACCTAGGTGATACGCTGTGTATATATAAGCTCACCTGTGTAAACGCCCACTCACTAACATCATGCCCAGCTGGCCAGGCACGGGCCCCGATCTATCCATACTATACTAAGTCAAAGCACACATCGACGGCGGCAAGGGTCCGAACAAGAGAGGCTGCAGTAGCGTGAAGAATATGTATCGTAGTGGAAGAAACTTGATTGCCCGGGTCGGCGCTTAGCCTCGACATCTCGCTGGATCGGACTGCGGGCACGATGTGGCTGGACTCAGCCCGGCGCTTCGAACCATCCCAATGATCATGATTCGGCATAGGGAAGCGCTGGAGCTAACAATCAGTGACTGTGAGTGGTCCATGGTCGCGGGGTATCGTGACGAAAGGTGATGGCCTCTATCTCTGTACTGTTTACTCGAAACATCACCTATCGGTGAAGCATAGTCGGTTACCGAAAAGGGAACAGATCCGACGATATAGAGATAGCAGGGTAACTGACTCCCATAGACCTCACAATTACTTTGAGTAGAATTGAACCTGTTATTTTCATTGGCCATATTATACACATACTGGCACGCAACTAATATACATGGCACAGTCTATCATACAGTCTAATCGCTCATACTACATAGCCTCATCATGAACTCGGAACGTCAGACCCTCCGCCATAGCAATCGCTCCTTCCATATTGCCCTTGTTGTACAAGAACAAGCCCTGCAGAGCAGCAGCGCTGGTGCTCTTCGTCCGATCAGCCTTGAAGCCGTTCTCGTCCTCGATCAGCCCTAATTCCTGTAGCCGATCGAGGAAGACCTGTCGGTTGGCACCACTCGGGTCAAGCTCTCCGTAGAACCGGTCCCAGAGGCAGCCGACTTGATAGCGAGTCACTTCGCCCAGACGCACCGTCATGTCCACGCGACCCGGTCGGACTAGCGCCTCGTCAAGCCGTTCAACGTGGTTGGTGGTGAGGAAGATAATGCGTTCCTCGGCGCTTGCAACGCCATCGAGAGCATTCAGAAGACCCGAAAATGTGACATTGGCTCCGCGATACCCGTCCTCGTCCGTTTGAGTCCGGCGATTCGAGAACGCGGCGTCTACATCTTCGAGTAAGACTAGGGTTCGGTTCGGAACAATCGTTAGAAGATGATTCAGCCGATCATCGGTCAGTCCCCGCTCGCTGAGGTTCAAGATGGCAATGTCATAGTCCAATTCACCCGCCAAGGCTTGGATGAACGAACTCTTACCCGTTCCCGGAGGCCCGTAGAGGAGATAACCACGGCGGTAGGGAATACCCCGGTCGTGATACCATTTGCCACTGCCCACAAAGTCCTGCACATCCTCCACAATTCGCTCCTTGACTCCTTCGTCGAGAACCACCGAATCCAATGGACGCTTTCGCCGCGGCTGTCCGAAAAGCTTCCATTCGGTACCCCAACTGTTATAAATGGATGTCTTGCCTTCGTGAGATTTGGCCGCATACGCGTGCGCTTCCGTGAAGAGGTCTTCGAAGACATGTCGATGCGAATAAAGCGTGGTCAGAGTGATGGTCTCCCACGGCCGGCCCGTGTGTAGGTCCTGGGACTTGGATTCTCGCATCCGGTTGACGAAGATGAACGCATTCTTGTAGCGCAAAACATGCCTTCCGGGTCCAGGCACCAGCGCGAAATGTGTATGTATCGCTCCATTGCTGTGCTCGACTTTCTGTGTTTGGATTGAGAGGTGGCGCATCCCGGGGGTCAGCCTCTGTAGTATGGACTCCATGAAACCAGACCTGCTGGCAGCGGAGCGGGCCGAATTAAGCTGCGATTGTTGGTATAGTGTCATCCAGTGAAGGAACCACGGGTAGGAGTCGTCTTTGATGCTGATTTCGACGTCGACAAGCATGCGCCGCCGGAGGAGAGCGGCGCCATGGCGGAAGCCTTTCTGTGCGAGACCGACTCCTGCCCCCAAACCGGCAAGACCAAATCCCTATGAATGCAACTTCCTGTCAGCGATTGGAATTTGCAGCAGACATAGCTGTAACACCCTGAGGAACTTACTGCGGTGAAAAAAGGATTGTTGGTTAGCTGGGAGAGAAGCCCTCCATCGCCTGTAGGCTGCCCCGCTGCTTGGATGGCATCTTTCCGTTGCTGAGCAATCAGATCGCCAGGCGAAGGCAGCCCTGGGGTACTTGATGGTCCATTGGGGTCCATGCCAACAGAAGAACAATCATACACCGCCACCTACAGTTGTCTGATGCCTCGAGCACATCCGCAACGTTCTTGTCGGGGAGTCGGAGTTAAGACGGGCCGAGATTCACGCTGGGTTTCACGGGCATCGGAGATGGAGAAGCCGGGCTGCGGTGCTAAGATCCCTAAAAGGGATGACATTGGCTGCGTTGTCCACGCATTCTGGTCGAAGGAAATCGAATTTTGCATCTTAGCACATTAGGCATTCGTAGAGCTACGTACGTAGTCTAACTCAGACGCTTTCATGGACCACAACACAATACGAGATGGGGCAGAACAACGGGATGTCATCACTCCGAGTCGGAGATAACGGGCTTTACACCGGCATCGCCGTTCCTCATTTTTATTCACCAAACAGGGGACTGCCCTTGCTTTTAAAGTCTAACATGGGCTAAAGCATACTGGGCTGTATTATTCTTTGAGATCTACGGCGGGAAGTATCCATTTACCTTCATTATCAAGGCAGCCGCCACCAAGCATCGTATAAAACCTTCCCCGCCCTGGAATCTTGAGACAATGCGAACATTCCTGCGAGGCTTCTTTTGTTTCCGACAGCACAGTGCTCCTGCACCTAGATTGTCATCCCCACAGAGATGCAACATGGTCAAAGCTACTTCCGCTGCTTCAACGTCGGCGGCCCTTTACTCTCTGGCCGTTGTCCTCTCCCCGGCTTCCGAGGGACCTGAGGATGTCAAGGAGAAAGCCCACCATCTCAAGAATGGCTTTCAAAACCCCTGGGAGTATGCCACTCTGTAGCTATCAGAAGACTTTATAGTATCGTGTTACTAACGCACCTCTGAAGCTCATGGAAATCGCCGTCAGTGGGTGACGCTCTTCACATGTGGGGGTAAGTTGCAAGACTTTCCTTGCTTTTACTATGCAAGCCTGACACTGCACTTTGAAGAGGAATCATAACGGGGAAAATCAAATTCCCGGATGTCACGCCTCCTACTGTACCTGTTCAGCAGCCCAAGTTTCTGCCAGACCGAGAAACCTCTAGTCTACGGGCGACATGGCTTGGCCATGCTTGTTACTACGTCGAATTCCCCAATGGCCTACGAGTACTGTTCGACCCCGTATTTGAGGACCGTTGCTCTCCCTTCTCATTCATGGGCCCAAAGCGCTACACTGAGATGCCATGCCGCATCGAGGACATCCCATCCATTGATGCGGTTGTAATATCCCACAACCATTACGATCATCTTTCTCATCCAACCGTCAAGGAAATCTCGCGGCTCCATCCCAATTGCCACTTCTTTGCACCCCTGGGCAATAAAGCATGGTTCAGCAGCATCGGGATTGACAAAATGACTGAACTGGATTGGTGGGAAGAGCGAGACATTGTTCTTTCACCCTCGCATGAACCAGTCACGGAGGCCGGTGCTGCCGGCGAAGGCCAGAATTCAAATCGATCTGATATCACGACTCGCATCAGCTGCTTGCCTTCGCAGCATACAAGCAATCGAGGTGTATTTGATCGATCAAAGACCCTGTGGGCGTCGTGGGGCATCGAAGCTGGAGGTCGGAAGTTGTGGTTTGCAGGGTATGTATAATCTCCGAAGAGATGCCTTCAAGTAATCTAACCAAGAACGTCATACAGAGACACAGGATATCGGCATGTGCCAGAGCTTCCTGCTGGCGCCGATGACCATGCTCCGGAGTACACTTTCCCCTCATGTCCCGCATTTAAACAAATTGGTCGATTCCGGGGGCCTTTCGACCTCGGGTTGATCCCGATTGGCGCCTACTCACCCAGATGGTTCATGAGCCCTATGCATGCAGACCCTGATGATGCAGTACAAATTTTCCGGGATACCAACTGCAAGAGAGCCATGGCTATTCACTGGGGAACTTGGGTTTTGACAGATGAAGATGTCCTTGAACCGCCCAAGAAATTAAAGGAAGCACTCACTAAGTATGGGTTTCCAGAGGTCGGGGCGTTTGACGTTTGTGACATCGGCGAAAGCCGGGAATTCTAAGGGTCATGTGCGCCTGGGAAAGTTTGGGGTACTTATTCTACTTACTTTAATATTGCTGTACGATACCTGCACGTTGATCATTGTGCGCGCACCGGATAGACGCTCACAACTCTATAATCCATAAAAATCTCTCTTCCCCTCACCGTCTTTTTTTGTACATGTGATGAGTCTTTGGATCAACCCTCCGACATAGTCAATGCTCCTATGGAGTGCAAGGCTTCAAAAAGAGGCTCTGACCCATGTGATGGCACGGGCCTATTTACGGAGCGTGCCAGTAAATGACCCTGCACCAGCAACGCGTTCAAGGTGCATACGGTGTTTCCCTTATTCCATTACCAGTCCTGGCAAAAACAAATATGCTCGTACCCCAAGTCCAGCTGACCAATTGCAGCTGTTCTTTAAAAAGCTACTGGATGGAATGACCCGTTTAGCAGTAAAGGTGACATAGAAATGATCCGCTTCCAATAACTGAATTGACATCAATAGGAGCTACATTCGTCTCAACTTTGCTGGATGACTCAAGGTTTCATCAGCTCGGTCGCCTATGACTGCCTTCCTGAATTCATCTATCACGTCCATATATTTTTGGCCCCATCTCACCAGCTGCTCAGCCTCTCATTTCCCCGATCAAAACCCCATCACCAGCGCGTGCTCTCACCACGTCAGCAAATAACTAGACCCATGGCTACCATAATTCAGCAAAGTCCACAAGAAGCCAGCTGTTTCTGGCGAAGCAGCTCAGAAACCTGGACGAGCAATCATGTATGGGAACCACAAGAGCGCAGACACTCCATGGACGACGAAGAGGAAGTACTCTACGAACTCGACGAAGTCGCCCTAGCACAACTACCACTGCATCTCCAACACAACATGCGTCAACTACAGCTAGAACGAATACGCAAACTACTGCACGACCGGGACCCGGATTCCGCGCTTTCCCCCAGACCTGTACACCCAAATCCCTACGCGCAAACGTGGTTCAAGAACATGATGGCGCGGCTTTCAGCAGACCAAGAAATGAATGAAGTCCACGAATGGCGCCAGTCGGTACATCTTGACGGCGATCCAGACGATACTACCTGGCGTTTAGTTCCACGGCAGTGGACTGGCAACAGACAGCGCCATGATCGGAGAACCTGGCACTTCGATCATGCAACTTCGGGTGAAGATAGTTTCAACGCTTACTCGATTGGAAGCACACGTGTATGCAGTCTGCATGGACTGGGGGTTAATGAGTTTGGATTCCGTCTGTCCGAGACTGGTTCACATGGTAGCAGAGACCAGAAGCAGGAGGGCAGAAAGGTCTCTTCAAAGCCTCGGAAGAGAAATTTGTCTCTTATTACGCATATGCGGGCTCATGTGCGTTTTCGGGTACGCAAGAGTGTTCAGAAGCTGAGTAAGCTCCTGAAGAAGTGATTTGCTCTTCAACGTTGGGTTCGTGTCGTTGAATTCATACGAACATTTGGGGAAATGGGGGAAAAGTTTGGGTTTGTTTCTTTAGGAGTTTGGCGATACGGGGCAAAGGGCATACCTGGATGGCGGGCGTTATGAAGCATCTGTGCAAGATGAGCTGTTGCTTGTGATTAATATTTATTACCCTCCAAGACCTAAAGCAAGAAAGGGTGCGAACTATTCGATTCCATGGCATGCGATGATGCTCCGTAGATAGATCAGGGGGAAAAGGATAGCACTAGACCTAAAGAAGAATGGTGGCGGTGAGCTCTTCTTGTCCGCAATCCCACTTCGAGGTGCGCTGGAAATTTGATGGGGACGGCGGGCAACAAAACAACTCCAGTTCCCCTCCACGAGAAAAAGGCCCCTATCTCTGACCGCTTGTCGATCGGCTCCGGAGTTTACTCCATCTTTTCCTAGGGACCGTTTGATTCTCTCTCTTCCTTCTCCGACGCAAGTCAACGAACCACCGCCATCATGCAAGCACCGGTGGTGGTGATGAGTATGTCCAATCGAGGGGAACTTTCCGGGGCTTGGCTTCTGATTGCTAACATTGTTCTTTAGACACCAATGCTGGTGAGAGACAGGTTGGTCGTAAAGCCCAGCTGTCTAATATCGCTGCTGCGAAGACGTACGTGATTGATCCCCTCCCACTCTTCCCCGCTCCCGGCACTTCTAACACGGGGCCTGTCAATACAGTGTCGCGGATATTATCCGGTCATGTCTGGGACCTAAGGCTATGCTGAAGATGCTTCTCGACCCCATGGGCGGTATTGTTTTGACGAACGATGGACACGCTATCCTGAGAGAAATCGAGGTGTCGCACCCCGCTGCGAAGAGCATGATCGAGTTGAGTCGGACCCAGGACGAGGAGGTTGGTGATGGAACAACGACTGTTATTATTTTGGGTATGTGCTGGGTGATTCGTGCTTTTTGCACGCTGGGCTTGAAATTTCTTCTGTGATGAATGAACTCGCTAACTGGTATTAGCTGGTGAGATGCTCGCTCAGGCCCTACCCCAGCTCGAACGCAACATTCACCCCGTGGTCATCATCTCGGCTTTCAAGCGTGCTCTGGCCGACGCCCTTGCCATTGTGGAGGAAGTTTCGATACCCGTGGATATTGATGACGACAAGGCTATGTACACCCTCATTCAGTCGTCCATCGGCACGAAGTTCGTTTCCCGGTGGTCGGAGCTCATGTGCGGCCTCGCCCTGAAGGCTGTCCGGACCGTGTCTTTCGATGCTGGCGGTGGAAAGCGGGAGGTCGACATCAAGCGGTACGCTCGTGTTGAGAAGATCCCCGGTGGTCAGATCGAGGACAGTGAGGTTATCGACGGTGTCATGGTCAACAAGGACATCACCCACCCCAAGATGCGGAGGAGGATAGAGAACCCCCGCGTTCTGCTTCTCGACTGCCCGTTGGAATACAAGAAGGGTGAATCGCAGACGAACATCGAAATCACCAAGGAGGATGACTGGAACCGTATCCTGCAGATTGAGGAGGAACAGGTTAAGGCCATGTGTGATGCTATCATCGCCCTCAAGCCTGACGTTGTCATCACGGAGAAGGGTGTTTCAGGTATGAAATCATTTGCTGCCTCGCAGGCATTCGCCTTTCTGACCACTCCATAGACCTTGCCCAGCACTACCTGGTGAAGGCCAACATCACAGCCCTCCGCCGTGTGAGAAAGACGGACAACAACCGTATCGCCAGAGCCACGGGTGCGACCATTGTGAACCGTGTCGACGACCTCCAGGAGTCCGACATTGGAACTCAGTGCGGACTTTTCGAGATCGAGAAGATTGGCGACGAGTACTTCACCTTCCTCAGAAAGTGCCAGAACCCCAAGGCTTGCACTATCCTTCTCCGCGGCCCGTCCAAGGACATCATCAACGAGATCGAGCGGAACCTTCAGGACGCTATGGCCGTTGCCCGGAATGTCATCTTCCACCCCCGTCTTTCCCCCGGTGGTGGTGCCATTGAGATGGCTGTGTCTGTCAGATTGAGCCAGTTGGCCAAGTCTATTGAGGGTGTCCAGCAATGGCCGTACAAGGCTGTTGCCGATGCCATGGAGGTCATCCCGAGAACGTTGGCACAGAACGCCGGTGCCAGTCCTATCCGTGTCCTCACCCGCATGAGGGCCAAGCACGTTGAGGGCCATACCACGTGGGGTCTGGACGGTGACTCCGGTGCCTTGGTGGACATGAAGGAGTACGGCGTCTGGGAGCCTGAGGCGGTCAAGCTTCAGAGCATCAAGACCGCTGTCGAGGTGAGCACAAGCATATCCTGCCCTGTTTCCACTCAAACTGACTGTATTTCTAGTCCGCATGCTTGCTCCTCCGTGTCGACGATATCTGCAGTGGCAAGTCTGCTCAGCAGGCCGGTGCCGGTCTCGGTGTCGGTGGTGGAGATGATTAAATCAATTAAGACGAACCGAAATAAAACCGCGTACATAATGCTGCACGATTACCATTTGGACTTCTTGTATGAATATCCTAGACCAAAAATTACAATGGGTATCTTCATATCGTACAATCTTTAGCCTTCTTCGTATGCCCGTTTCCCCAGCAGCCCGTATATATGTCCGTCTTCCCTATTCAGTCATCATGGATAATCACCCCTGGCACCTCAGTAACCTCCTCAGGACCATCCCCGTCCTCAATTACATCCTTCTTATCCCCATCGGCACCACCTACCACCTTCTTCCCCGTCTCATCAACAGCCATCTTATCCCCGCCATTCGTCGCACCACTGCCACCCTTCTTCCCCTTTTTGGCATTCCGCTTCTCCCTCTTCTTCCGATTCTTCTCCGTCTTCTCTTCATCCTTCCTCCGCGCTTCCTCCCGCTTCTGCTCCCACTCCTTATCCTCCTTCTCCTTGTCGACCTCGCTCTGCATCAGCCGCTGGCGCTCGTACTCCCTCCGCCGACTCGCCTTGTAGACATGGAATTCTCCCGACCCCGCACCAGCAGAGGAACCCTGGACGTTGGCGACAATCTCTGGCGGCGGGGGAAGCGATGTCGAGGTCCGTTGCTTGGAGGGGTCCGGAAGTTTGATTTCTTTTGTGGGATCGCGGAAGAGAGACTCGATTTGTGTTGCGTGTTCATCGTGCGCTGTCACGGCGCGGCGTTTGGTGGGACGTTTGCTGCGCGGGTCTGCGCTGGTAGGGATTGATTCGGGGCCGGGTTCGGACATTTTGATAAGAGGTGTTTAAGTCGGTTTGAAGTGTGTGAGAGTAGATTGACTGCACTCTCCTATGCGAGGTTGTTGGGCTTGGTTTTATTTCAAAGTAGTGGCTGGTGTGAGAGCGTCTGTAGGTTTGTATAAGTAGGTGCAGAATGAGGAGCCAGTAGTAGTTTAGCTGAAGATTAGCGGCCTGAAAACTGGGCGGTGAGACGCGCCGTTGGGGTTGCTCTTATCGATCGATTGGCCGGGATTGGATCGCAGTCGGCAGGTTCCATCAGCATAACGCCGATTACTTCCCCAGTCGGGAACTCAGATGTATACAACTTGGGGAAGTGAGGAGTAGCCTGCTGGCTCGCCAAACTTAGTCATAAGGAGACTATATCGCTCCGAGGTCTTGAAAACTACATTCAAGTGGTTGTTAGCCTCTCGGATGGTCTAATATTGTACAAAGTTGAAGTAATCATGAATCAATCGGCCTCTGCATCAGGCCGTGGCACATGACAGGCACTGGCTGTGCTTTTTCCTACTGTTATCATCCTCCGGGATCTCCCACCTCCCCCTCAGATGTCCTTTTTCTTTCCTCTGGCCAATATCGTGTGCTCCAGTTGATACTCACCGTATATTTGTCTGTATGAGTGCGTGCCTTCAAAGCTCGCCTAGTGCTGCGTGTTTTCCCATCATATCTCACTCCCTACTTCTTACCCCGCCAACATGGATACGAGTGGCGTCCCCAACGCCCCGAATACGGGGACCTCACGTACTTTCAAGGTGAGCAATGACCCGGTGTGAGCTGTGCCGACATCATTATCAGCCTGGACATCCTAATGATTACTAGTTTGATCTCGATGACACTTGTTGCTTGAAATCAAATCCATCTTTAACAGGTATTGTTGTAGTATGGCTCCCGTTGATAGCATTAGTGAATCTCGCTTCGCTAACATACACGGCTAGAGAACATATCTTGATGTACGTTTTCCTACGACCGATAAATCCAAGAACGATGACTCAAATAGACTGACATGGCAATCCCAGGTGAATCCATCTGGGCCGCCAGAAGATTACTTGGTGGTATCCTATACCTCGGTGCCACAAGACGTTCTGACCGATTTCTTACAAACCGGTGTGGTAAGTGATCAGGTCCCATTAGCCAGAAATAATGTTCACTAAACTCCCTTTCTCCTGTATAGCCGCGCAAAGGATATGTTTTTGTTGAGTTTGACTGGTTTTCGCAAGGATATTCTCTCATTCATGAGGACGACCTTGAACTACTTGACAGGTACATCGACTTCGGTAGTCATGTCAAAAGGAATTCGGACGACACATTATATGGCACGGTCATCAATGCATCTGCTACATGCACCCTCGAGCCAATTGCGTATCGTAACTATGACGACTCTTTAGGCGAATATGGCTCCGTCGAGTTCAACGAACGGCTCATGCCTCGCAGCCGCACAAGACCCGAGGCCGGATCCTCTCGTCCTCTGCCACTGCATAATGTACCTTTATCTGAGCTCATGCACCACCAGCAGTTCAGAGAAGATGACTTGATTATTTATCGCCAGAAACTGGGAGTCATCCGGCAAGTTGATCGTGATGCTATTCTGCGCGTTTCCAACGTGCCGGTCTCGCTTGTCGATCCCAATGCTCTGGAGGTTCCTTGCATCTTCGATGACAAAGAACTTATATGGATGCCTACGGGCCAGCCGTGTAGAATTGTCGATGCCAATTTACAATACCTGGAGCATGACTTCGTGATTCCGGGTCAGTATGTGTGTACGAAATACAAAAATATGCGCGGGATAAACGGGGGTGTAGTCCCAAAGGAAGATATCTGTTCTTTTGGCCATGGCCAGGTCCTGTCCACGCCAGCTACGGAGTATAAAGTTGAATGGCTCTGTACGAATGTGTTCGGCCTTGGAACACTTGAGATCTCGGATAAAATAGAAACTCTCAGAGCACCTGTCTTGGAACGCGATGCCGTGAAATGCGATTTTGGAAACCTCCCAACTGAGGGAACAGTAAAATCTGATGTTTGTCTTCACATCGGTGAGATGGTACGTTTTCGAGATCCGAAAAGTGCTTTTCAGAAATATCTTTACCAACATATTCCTCTCGGAGAGACCTTTGGTTACGATATGAACATCTTCCAAATCACATCAAAAAAGACGGCACTGACTGTCAAGTGGTCGGACGGGAGTGTCACAACCGAAGATATTAAGTCTCTTTGTGTGAGTACCGGAATTGATGAAAACATTTGGCCTGGGAGTATTGTCGTCCTAAAGGATGGGATTGAGATCATCGATCTGCCCGCATCAGAACGCATACCTGCATATATCAAACAGCTGCCTAAGCATAGGAGACACGGGAGATCAACAATCCGAGCGAGAATTGTGGGTATCGTCCAGGCTGTTGACATCCGGGAGCAAATAGCTACCGTTCAGTGGTATAAAGATCCCGATGTCGTACTTTTGCATGGTGGGCAAATCCTAGCCTACCCCTACTCCTCTCTGGGCGAGCTGAGTGATACAGTCAGCCAAGTATCTCTATATGAGCTTGACGTGTTTCCTTGTCTGGAGAGATTACATGGTGACATCGTTCTTCTCGCCCCAGACACCATCCATGAATCGGCTTTGATGAAAGGAAAATTAAATACATATAATGTCGCCGGTCCTTGCACCTATAGCTACACGTCGTCGTTGTCACTTTCGCAGGTACATGCATACCTCGACGCTATGAGTATTTCGATGTTGGACGCGGAATGGTTCAAAAGTACGACTACAATTGACACTACCCCTCTTCCTCCAAGACATAGTTACCACTACCAGCGTAAGCTCAATAAAAAGCCCACTGCAGATTTCGTCGGACAGATTATTGCGATTGAGACCAATGGAGATATCACTGTTCGGTTGGCTGCTACGGGTGCTTGTCGCGACATCCGCGTCCCATTTGAAAAGATTATGATGGTCATTAACGTAGGATTTTCCAGCTCAGCCGGGATCCCAGCTCCAGGTGATTTATCGACCATGTCAATGAACACGACATACGAGGATGAAGAAGGGAGTTCAATTGGCGACGAGGATGAGTGGGAGACAGACGAGCCTGACGAAATCCCAGACACTAATACTGCAAATGACTATATTGTTCCCGAATCTACAGAGGCCGATTGTTTCACGGAGGCAGACATTGACACGGGGAATGGTGACTCTCGCCTTGAAATGAGAGAGAATTCGGATGATGTAGCTGAGCAGAGCGAGGAAATGACTTTACCTCCAGAGTTCCTCATATTGGAAGGCATCCCTCCCTCCGATCACCATTTCATCTCGAAACACGAGGCCAGGGGCTCGGTCTTACGCACCAGGTGTATTCAGAAGGAACTTGACATACTCAGTGAATCTCTTCCTCCCGGAATCTTTGTGCGAGCATGGGAATCAAGGATGGACCTTCTCAGGGTTTTGTTCATTGGGCCAGAGGGGACCCCGTACGAATATGCACCGATTGTGCTAGACCTGCACTTGCCTGGGGACTTTCCTAAAAAGCCTCCCGAAGCATTCTTTCACTCGTGGATTAGTGGTCAAGGAAGGATCAATCCGAACCTCTATGAAGATGGTAAAATCTGCCTGAGCATTTTAGGGACATGGCCCACTCAAAACCCGGAGGAAACATGGTCAGCAACCAAGTCCACTGTTCTACAGGTCTTAGTCTCGATTATGGGGCTGGTCTTGGTGAAAGCCCCTTTCTATAGTAAGTCAGCATTATGGGCAATGTGTATAACTCCGGTATCAAAGGCTGATGTTTACCAGATGAGGCCGGTTATGAAGCCCTTGCCGCGGAGGGCGACCGGCAAGTCGAGTCAAACAAGTACACCGAAAGGACGTTCTTGACTACACGCAGATATATCAAATATGCCCTCGATCACCCAGTGAGCGGCATGGAGGACATTGTGACCTGGAATTATCTGCCCAGTCGCGTAAGGTCAATTGATTGCGACAGGCCCCTACTGCTCCGTCGCGCTATCGATGCGGCATTGGCGATGATAGATCATCACGATAATTCTAGCACTGGAGAGGAGCGCAGGGCCTCAGCCTTTGTCTCGCGTCTTAGCCTTGGGGCCGTGGTTATGCTACGAAAGTATATCACGGAGCTTGAGGTTTTGGAAGTAGCCGCGACTGTCTAACAATAATCTTGATGTTGGATGGATCTGTTGCAAATAATTATCAGACCCTGATCTTGTTATTGATTGATCATAAGAGACCATCCACTTTTGTTAATGATATCTACGATACATTGGCTTATCTTGCGGAATGGAATTTTGGGCAGTGGATAAGTGAGAGACGTTGTAATAGTTGGGTGAGAGTCACTCGGATCTATGCTACAAATATGCACTGCTTTATAATTGTTTGAAGTTTTGATAATGAGTAGTATCTCTGAATGGTTGCTGATGCAGTAGAACAGTATCCTGGACTGGAACTCCGCTAAGTAGGACTGAACTATAGCTATTTATCCACAAATCAGGCGCTTAAACGAGTATGACGGCATCAACTGAGCAAAGAAATATAAATTCATTAGACCTGAAGATATAATTATTATGAGATTCTTGAATAGCAGCTTAGCAACAATCGGACAGAAAATACACTGTGGAAGACGAGCAGAAGGAGTGGCAGTAGAAACAGAAAGCAAAAGCAGCACTGCGGCATTGGTCTTTGGCGTGTTCCGTTGGCAGCAGCGCCAGGCCTTCGCTCATCTTTCGCTCTGTCTTGTCCTCCCTCCCTCTTCTTTCTCCCCTCGCTCTTCTTTATTTGACCCCATTTCTTTTCCATCTTCCCCTTCTCTTCATTTCCATCGTTTCCGTGTTGCTTCTTTCTCGTTGGGTCGGTGGAGTCCCAAGGTTACAAATACACCCTTCGAACCCGGGCGCGATCGCACCCATAAATCTTGGTTCCCTCTCAGCACGCAAGTTTAAGTTACCCGCACGCAGTATCACCATCCTCTGTGCTGCCCGTGTTGCTGTTAAAATATGGGTGCCTATCGTCTGGGTAAGTTATTCTTTTCGCTCACGGTTCTGCTTGCCTTCTTTCAAGATGAGTTTCTCGCCGTCTCGCTTTTGGACGTTGGTTTCACTGTTTGCTTTTCCCATGGCGTTGTTGTCAACTTGCTTGACTGGGATGGGGATGCGTTTGTTGTCCAGCGGTGACTGCCAACTGTCATATTGAGCCAAATCTTGAACGAATTTTGTTCGGCTTGCCCCAAGCATGCTGTTTTTATTTGCATGATATTTTCGACCGAATCTACACATCTTGCTCAAATCTAACCATCTACACAGAGCAAGCCTCAACCGGCCGCGCCGGTTGCAAAAACAAAGAATGTAAAGACCAGGGCATCAAGATCCTCAAGGGCGAGTTGCGTCATGGCTCCTGGGTTGATACCGAACGGTTTCAGAGCTACTTCTGGCGTCACTGGTAAGTCTAGGAGATGAAAATTCGGACGAAAGAAGCGCCCTGCTAATGCCTTATACAGGGGCTGTGTCACCCCCAAGATCATTGCTAATATGATTGAAACGGTCGGTGAAGAAGGCGAGAGAGACTGGTCAGCCTTGGATGGCTATGACGAACTCCCTGAAGATTTGCAGGAGAAGGTTCGCAGAGCATTGTTGCAGGGCCATGTTGATGATGAAGATTGGAAGGGGGTAAGTTTTTAGAATCAGTTTCATACTTAATTTCAACTTTTCTGTCTGTAAGAAGTCTGACTTTTGTCTCAGGATGTCGAATTAAATCGGCCTGGAAAGACGGGATTTCGGAAGCGTGTGACCAAGAAGGACAAGGTATGTTCTTCCGCTCCAAGAATCTAGCTCTATCGATGCTAATCTGCCCAGGACGAAACCCCAGAGGAGTCCACTCCAAAGAAGGCCACTCCTCAGAGTAAGAAACGCGCTCGCGCTGAGCCCAAGGAGGAATCCGGCTCTGAAGCTGAGGAAGGAGACACCAAGGAAAAGCCTAAGGCTAAAAAGGCCACTCCCCAGACCAAGAAGCGCGCTCGTGCGGAGCCTAAGAAAGAAGCCGAGTCTGAGGCTGAAGAAGAGGTTACTAAAGAGACGCCTAAGACCAAGAAGGCCGCTCCCCAGACCAAGAAGCGTACCAAAGCTGGAGCCGAAGCTGAAGCTGATGAAGCTAAAGACACGCCCAAGACTAAGAAGCCCAGAAAGAACAGTGCTGCCTCCAAGCAAGCACCTGTCGAGGATGACGAGTCCGATGCTCCTCTGGTCGAAACGAACAAGAAGGCGGCCGCCACTAAGGGTAAGCGGGGCAAAGCTGCTGCTGCTGCTCCTGCTGCTGAGGAGCCCGCCACTACTCGTCCCAAAAGGGGCAGACCCGCGGCAAAGAAGAAGCAAGCCCCCGTTGCTGACGATGAGGGTGAAGCTGAGCCTGAGCCTGCCGAAAAACCAAAGCGGACATACAAGAAGAGAAAGTCTACCTAAAGAATTGGTGCGGTCCTGGAATTCAGGCATTAGTGAGCTGGTCATGTAGAAGAAGTTATGAAGGGGAGTGCTTTGTTTCGGTCTATTCTATCATTCACCTTTCCTTTCATATGTCTTGTCTTCTAATTGTCATTTTCTCCTGTTATGTGCTACCTGTGATATTGATATCGGTGTCAATACTGTGCATTTTAACACTGTCACTACCTTAAGACTGTCCTATGTTGTTGCTGCTGGCGTGAGCGTGACTATTCTGTGTGTACATGCATGCTGTGCTGGTATTTCCAGTCTCATATTTCTATTGTCATGTATCTTGTCCAGCGGTTCTTGTATCTAATCAGTCATGTCATGGTTATGTTATGCGTTGATAGGCTGTAATATTATCACTATTGCTAGGGCAGGCATTTCATACCTGGCTTGACTCACTATTGACAGTAGATCATGAAACTATCAGTCGATAGAGACAATGACGGCCAAGATGTCCAAATTGGGAAACCAGTCTTCGTAGCGCACGCACAGAATCAGATGTATAGCATCCACGCAGGGGGATGACGAGCACATAGCCGAACACTATCGTATCTGGATTCCTCTCTCTAAAATTGTGAGTGGCAACAGCCAAAATATATTATATTATAGTATCATCTTCATCCTAAAACCATGTTCATCAAGTGGATGTATACGACTGAGTACTACTAATACATAGTATCATATGTGTAGATTCTTATACGGGCGGCTTTTGGCTTAACTAACCTTATTAGAGCGATGACAAAACTCCGCTACCACTCCACCACATGTGTAGTAGTACGTGTCATAGTAATTACTAGCTAGCTGTAGAAGATCTCAACATAGTAAGTCCCCATCAATTGAAAAGACTACAACTATTCTTTCTCTTACTAGAAGGTGACCACACAATGCTATTGCGCAGTTAACAAGTTATAAGCAGCAGAATAATACTTACGACTACATTCAAAATAACTTATCTTGTGTCAATGAACCTCAAAGTCTAGAAAACTGAATGGAGCTGATTGACCAATACAACAATTCCCCGAAGGAGGGCTGACCAGGCAGCACAACAGTCTCCAACCAAGTAACAAAGGCCCAAAACATAAAGCGTTTATCTAGCAGAATCTTGCATACACAACATCTGAATGATCATAATCACCAACCCTCACTACTATTCAGTTGTTGCATACTTCTGACTATTCACAAAGCGACCCGCAGCACATTACCCAAACAGGTAACGCGTGAGGCCTCACAAATGGATACCTCCACTCACTCACTCACTCCCTCCCTCTCACTCACTACTTTGTTTACCCGCCCCTTTCCTACTGTAGAACCGTAGATCCCCTTCCCCCCCTCCCAAATAATGAAACCACTTTCCAAATTCCTTCAATACATAACCCATCTGGCATCAACAACATCAACAACAATAACAACACAAACCCAAAACGCACCATTCCAACTCCTCTCCCTTCCAGTCGAACTCCGTCTCCTGATCTACGCGCACGTCTTCTCCCTACCCCCCATCATAGTAACTGCCTCGCGCAGTAAACTCTTCCTTATTACATCCTCATCCTCATTATCTCCAGGTGGCAAAGGACATGATGATCAAGATCGAATTGAATATAGATACACTTACACCCGTGTCCCCGCGGGCTCAATTGCCATCTCCCTGCTTTATACAAGCAAGCAAATCTACCTAGAAGCCCTTCCAGTGCTATACGACAGGGTGATCTTCACGCATGATCTTGCGGAGTTGTTTCTGCTGAGTCTGCTAGGCAGGATGTCCGATTACGCACGTGACCATGTGCGGTGTGTGCGGCTTCAGCCAAGACAGATGGTTTGGGCGGGGAGAGCGCCTGCAACGAGGGAACGGTTGGCGTGGATGCAGCTGTGCGCGAGGATTGCGGAGTTGAAGGGGCTGAGGAAGGTGGAGGTGTGTTGTCCGAGGAAGGAGGTGCGGTGTGATGAGGTGGTGGCGATGGAGAGGATTGGGTTGGCTTTGAGGGTGGTGAAGGTGAGGAAGGAGGTGGTTGTGGAAGGGGTGGAGAGTTGGAGGGATGAGTGGGTGGAGAGGCTGGAGGGGTTGTTGGAGGCAGATTGTAGTATTACTAGTAATATGTAGATAATGACGTTGGTTCATTTTGGTGATAATAGCAAGCAGGCAAGCAGGCAAGCAAGCCATGATATTTCGTGTTGGTCTTAGCTTGGTATATATTGTGATGGTTTAGATGGTGTTTCCTCCTCGCTCCTGCAGGAACTTGTAGTATCTCGGGGCACATTTCCTCCGCCATTTCTTGCCCCAGATGTAGACAGCCATTCCGGCTGCTAGTGAGATGATCACGCAGATCCCGTAGAAGAGGAAGAGCCAGCCGGGGCCGGTGGCTTCGTAGAACGGTTGTGTGGTCTCGGAGATGATGAAGTTGATGATGGAGCTGCAGATGGCGAGAATCACGACAATCTCACCCCCAACACCGGGGAAACATTCCATGGCATAGGCGGTTGCCTGTTGGAACTGTTAGTTTTGATCTGTCAAAAGGGCCAACTAACATACTGTTGATGTTGCAGCTACCTGCTGAGCAATCATCGCTCCAATTCCCACAGTGATTGTCATCCAGTGGGCACCTTCCTGGGCACCCCAGCCATAAAGCTCATATCCCACCGCCGAATAGATGAAGCAAGGCGTCAGAGCCCAGAGACGCATCTCAGGCTCCTTAACACCGTCATTGCGACGAGCGAGGTAGATGACAATCTTATCACCCATCACACTAGTAAGGTAGCCAATGATGCTGCCAACCAGAGCAGACAGATAGGCAAGGCCGGTCTGGCCGTCAGTGAAGTTGTACGGCGCGCCAGTAAGAATCTCGGAGATGGTCTTATTGGTAACGATGCCAGAGGTGCAGCCAAAGGCGAAGATAATACCAGCCTAGACAATGTATTAGTAATTGTTGCAAAGCCTTATCTTTGGGATAGGTGACAGTACAATAATGATGTTAGGGAAAGCCAGCAGGAAGAATGGTCGCATGAAGTAAGACCAATATGTGGTTTTATCTTGCGGGTAATATACCCAGAGTCGCAATTTCTCTTTGAACGTCCGTTTGGGGAATTCAGACGGCGCTGGAATTGTATCACTGGCTGATCCCTCGTTCACACTCGCATTATCGATTGTGGCGGGATCCTTCTTGTCTAGAGAAGCGGTTTCGGTCGCATCAATCGGGCTCTTTGCCTTGGTCTCGGCCGTAGGCAAGCTCTGCGAAGGGTTGAAGAGAAACCGGGGAAACAATGTCTCCTCATACGTGAAGAAGAAGATAATGATCAACACCGCTTCTCCAATGGAGACCACCCACTGAGCCCAGCGCCAGCCCGGTCCGTCAGCAATATATCCACCTGAGACCAGACCAATGATAGAACCTAGCTGCTGAGCAAAGATGTAGAAACCCAGCATGCGACCGCGCTGATGGTCAAAGAAGAGGTCAAATACTGCGAGCTGAATAACAGCTTCGTAGGCGGAGGTACCGAGACCATTGACGATATTGCATCCATACCATTCACCCGCAGTATGAAAAGCGCCCATCCAGATGGAGGAGCCAATGCAAAGGAGTAAGGTTGCGAGGAAACAAAAGCGACGACCAATCTTCATGGCCGCTGGAATCCAGAAGATATTCACCAGACCCAGCATGAGATAGTTCAATGCTCCACCACCGTTCATGATGGTCATGGTGGACCCAGTCATGTCCACGATTGTCGAGTAAGCATCTCCGGTGTTGTTCTCGGCAAATGAAAAGATACAGGCATATGCAGAGACAAGGAGAAGATGCCAGTATTTCTTGAAATCGGACCAATTGAGAGGATCGCCCTCACAGGCCGTGGGAGGGGGCAACAGGATAATATCGGAGCTGCCATGGGGAACGTTCTGGTCGTGTTGAAGATCGATCAGAAGCTCAGTGCCGGGGACGTCAAGGTCCCTGTCTTTGAAGATAGGCATGGTCAGGACAGCACCAGAGAAAGACTTGAAGCTCTGTTGATTGAGAGGTCTCCATCCCGACGGCTGCCTCTCTCTTTATAGGAGGAGGGGAAGGCATTAGAGGCATTGCAACGGTTTGCGACTATGACAATCTGGGGTTCGATAAGCTTCGGATGATATTAGCCAATGTTACCCCAGGTTTATAGCGATATCGCTATCGGGATAATTATCAAAGTGTGGAGGCAAAAGTAGAGGGCAGGCAAGAGGGGCGGCAGGTCCAAGCGAAGCAGTAAAGTTGGAGGATGGAGCTTAGTCGGACGCTAACCGGCTGCTAAACATCGCGACGCTTATGCTGGACTCACACCATTGTACCATGTCGCTATCAACTCCCAATGTGATTTGCTTACGCCTCGACCTTCCATTGCCTTGTGGCCAGGGTTGATATGAGATTAGCCGTCGATGGCAACTTGATAAGCTTGGCCTTCCCCTCCCATCTGCATCATTGCATTAGCAAACCGAAATCCTCCGTGGCCACACAATGCGCGCCGATCAGTCTTCAGAGCATCCATCACTCTCCATTTTCATTCGCATTAACTCCGCTTCCCCGATAGACGTACCCATGCTTCAAGCGCCCATCCTTATCATCGGAGCAGGCACCTGGGGAGCGTCCACTGCCCTTCATCTGGCCCGACGGGGTTATACCAATGTCACTGTCTTAGATGCGTATCATCAGCCCTCCGCCATTTCGGCGGGCAATGACGTGAACAAGATAGTCTCCTTCAGTGAGTGTGGAATACCCAAGGTGTACCTGGGATGTAGCTAACCGAAGCGAAGCGGACCCTCCCGCCGAGGACGACCCCAACTTCGTGAACAAGACGTTTTTTGCCGCACTTACTAGGGGCTTTCAGCACGACCCGGTGTTCAAGCCACATTTCCACAATGTTGGGAACATCACTTCAGCTTTCTCCCCGGGCGGCCTCAAGCATATTGGACGGCGCGACCGCGGAGGCGACGTAGTGGAGCTAAACGACCCGGAGGACTTCCGGAAGGCATTTCCCTCGGGTATTCTGACGGGTCCCCTGCCAGGCTGGAAAGGATATTGGAAGAAGACAGGTGCTGGGTGGGTGCATGCCCGGAATGCCCTCGTATCAGCCATCACCGAAGCCAAAAGGCTTGGAGTCACCTTCATCGGAGGCGACCCCGAAGGAAAAGTTGTCCGTTTACTATTTTCGTCCAAGACTGAACCCCGGGATATTGTCGGGGCCGAAACAGCAGATGGAAAGCAACACTTTGCTTCCAAGGTCATTCTAGCCGCCGGTGCAAATGCGGACCAGTTCCTCGATTTCAAGAAACAACTTCGGCCAACTGCCTGGACCCTGGCCCATATTCGCATGTCACCCGAGGAAGCCAAGGCATATCGTAACCTACCTGTCCTTTTCAACGCCGATCAGGGATTCTTCATTGAACCGGATGAAGAAAAGCACGAACTCAAGATATGTGACGAACATCCAGGATACTGCAACTGGATTGTCGGCCCAGATGGCGAACGACGAAGCGTTCCCTTTGCACGTCATCAGATCCCCGTTGAGTCGGCCGAGCGAATCCGCGGTCTCCTGAGAGCAACGATGCCTCAGTTGGCGGACAGACCTTTCTCATTCGCACGGATCTGTTGGTGCGCTGATACGGTCGACCGAAATTTTCTCATCGATTATCATCCTGAACATCCATCCTTGCTTCTTGCAGTTGGGGCGTCCGGTCGTGGATTCGCCCATATTCCCTCGATCGGTGGATTTATTGCTGACCGGCTTGAAGGGAGGATGGACTCGAGGATTGCAGCTGCCGTTCGTTGGAGACCTGAGCAGGCTGTGAACCGAGATTGGGACGATACCCAAAATAGGTTCGGAGGGGAGTATAGGGTGATGGACTTTCAGAAAGTGAAGGAGTGGACTAATATCCAAGAGTCGTAGCTGGCATTAGGTAGGTTCCAAATGTGGAATCTGCATATGGCTGACACAAGGTATTTTGTAGAGCTTAACATCCTCAGTCGCTCA